TCTTCCCCCATCTCATCCACACTTCACCTCAAACTTTTTCTCTAGTAAAGAAAAGAATTGTAGTACTGAACATGTCTGAACCACTATATGGCTGGTAGCATTTGGTAATGACTCCATTTGACATTTCTCTGTTAATTTATTTGTCTGTTTGGGTGGAGTGATATTATTTAGGATTGGTAGTGGATGCTGAAGCAAATGGAAGGATAAACTGGCCACAGTTTATCTTGGAAAATTGTACCTTTGACCCTGTTGAATTTCGTTTGCAGAGTTGAAAAACGTGGTTTTGTAAACCTTGTCACATCAGAAGTATTCAGGTGGCCATTCATCATCCATCTGGTTTTCCCCATTACTTTTATTTTAATCACTCATCCACAGGTAGGTATTGTGTGATTAGAAATTTCTTGGCAACCTTAACAACCGATCAGTGATGCAGAAAATAAACATCTGAGAACAAGACGGGTAATTTTACTTGTCAAGCAGGTTGTTTTAGGCAAAAAGGTGATTTCCTTTTCAATGGATTGCAACATCAGGAACTGAATAGTTTTATTTTAAAACATAATTAAGTGCCTATAAATTACTGGTCTTGAGAAATACTCTTATTTGTAATGTTGACTTAAACATTTCATAAAGGTGAGCTAGAAGTTCAAGATTTTCTCAGGAGCTCTGAAATAGATTTTAAATTTCTGACACCTAAAATGGACTATTATTAATTATGTAGCTAAAATCAAGAAAATGTTTTCTTGCTGTTTAAAGAATTTATAAAACATAAAATGTCAAAACATTTTAAGGTATTGCCTCAGATTAATCTCAATGGTGCTAGAGAAATAAACCAGTATTGCCCCATACCTGATGAGTATCACCTAACTGAAGTAGCAGAGAAGCTACATCTTCAACAGACTTTCTAGTAGCATTGGCTACCTTCTTGCCTTTGTTTAATGAATTTCATCTATAATTTTAGCAACCTATGATATTAAACATCATATATATGATGTAATGATTTCCAAATCTATATTCACTGATCCAACTTTTAAAAAAGCACCAAATTTATTATTTAACCTGTCCACTGGGTATCCCATCTTTGTTGCACTGCAGTTCCTTATATTTAGTATATACCAAACTTAAATCATCACTTCATCTATATATTTGTTTTGTCATCCCTATTTTGTCAATTTTGCTCAACTGGAGTATACAAAATGTTTCTCGAGGAGATACTCCTATTGTTCAGTCCCTTACCTTTGTAACTTAGAATAGTCTTTGAGCTGGCTTACATATACTTCTCTTGCCACTATTTTACTTCTTTCTATTATCTATGGAGTACAGAGTCATTATCTCCATTACCCTTCAAAATAACATTCAGTCTTCTTAGCATAAGAAAGACTTCTCACAAGCCAACCACAACCTTTGTCAATCTCCTTATTGAATGTCATTCCATACCACACTGTTTTCTCCGATACTATTATTTTTTAAATACACATAATATTTGGTTATAATTTTCTTCAAAAAGCTATTATTTCAGAAACAACAAATGTTGGTGAAGTTTTGAAAAGGAACTCTGATACACTGTTGGTGGGAATGCAAGCTGGAGCAACCAAGTGGAAAACAGTATGGAGGCTCCTCAAAAAATTTAAAATGGAATTATTGTATGATCCAGAAATTCCACTACTGGGTATTTACCCAAAGAAAATGAAAATTAATTCAAAAGATATATGTACCCCTATAATTTTTGCAGCCTTATTGACAATAGCCAAGATATGGAAGCAACCCAAGTGTTTAGCCGTAGATGAATGGATACAGAAACTGTGGTATACATATATACGATGGAATATTACTCAGCCATAAAGGAGAATGAAATCTTGCCATTTGCAACAACATGAATGGATCTAGAGGTTATAATGCTAAGTAAAACCAGTCAGAGGAAGACAAATACCATATGATTTCACTCATATGTGGAATTTAAGAAACAAAACAAATGAACAAAGGAAAAAAAGACACAAACCAAAAGCCAGAATCTTAAATAAAACAGGTGCTTGCCAGAGAGGAGGTAGGTGAGGGGATGGGTTAAATAGGTGGAGAATTAAGAGTACACTTATCATGACAAGTAGTAAGGAATGGACAGAATTGCTGAATCATTATATTGTACACCTTAAACTAATATAACACTACCTAATAATTATACTTGATTTTTTAAAATTTTAAGCTGTCACATCAGTATCAGTTTCTTCAATTTCTACTATACCTGGAAAATTCATAATCATGTTAATATTTTCAACTCAAAGCCTTCTTGTTAAATTCTTTCCCAACTTTCCAATTTATTGTTTTAATGTGAGTCCATTGAGCATTGTTCATAGTTCCAATATAAGATAGTCTTTGTATCACGTGGCCTTGCAATTTGCATTTACACATCCTACAAAGTTGACAGAGAACTATTCTGGGAAAAGAAGTAGGCTTACACATTTGTTTATCAACAGGATCTGGTTTATTTTATTTTCAGGACCTGGTTTAATACTAAGTACTCCCCAACATACATTCCCACGGTGCCTTGTAGTTGTTTCTCTTCTGTGATACTTACCATGATTGTAAGGAATTATTAGTTATTGAGCCTCTGCCCTTCCTATAGAATAACTCTAAAACTTATATTCACCTCTTCATTCCTACCATCTACCACAATTCTTGCAGATAATAGGCACTTAATAAACATGTACCTATACATATTTAGCAGTAAATACCAATAACTTAAATAGTATTGAATCTGTCAAATGATGATGTAATATCTTTTTTTCCATTGCATATGCCTTTGCTCAGCAAAAACCAACTGAGAACTTAGAAGAGAGTATATTAATCCATGTCCTTTCATATTCTTGCACATGAACATACCCTTCCATCTCATTCAACTTATGATTGTTAAAAAGAAATTCTTCCAAGACTTGCTGTCTTAGAGGCACCATGAAAATTAATGACTTTTTTTGATACTGTATTTTCTTATCTGTAAGAATAAGTAATACATTTAAAATTGTATTTTGGGGGGATTCAATGAGATACTGTCAATAACAGCACCTCGTACACTGCCTGCTAGATATCAAGTACTTAGGAAATGCCTTTTCTTGCCTATAGTTCCTCTCTTCCTTCATCTTCTCTCTCCTTCCCTTCTTCCATATCCTTCCCTCTTCTCTTCTTTTTTCCCTTTCCTTTCTTTTCTTTCTTCCTTCTCTCCTTCTTCCTTCCCTTCATCCCTTCCTTTATTCCCTTCTCTACTAGAAGATAAACTACCTTAGAGAATTGAGTCTTACTCATCTTTTGATTTATAGAACCTAGTACTATGGCCAATACATTGCAAATACTCAATAGGTAACATTGGAGTCATGCCTGAAGTCTCTGGGATAAAAGCCCATTAACCTGAAGACCATGTTAATCAGATAAAATTATATTTAAAGAAAAAGGTATCGTAAAAGCATGCTAGTCCCAAAGATGAATTAAAACAACTGGGTAAAACATACATTTTTGTTAACAGTAAATTGCCTTGATTAAAGTTAAAATAAACAGAATTATTTAAACAGCATAAAAGTTTTATATTTGGAAAAATGAAATATTGTAGAGAAATTTCAATTCTTTGGATTTATCAGCCTTGGGAATAAATAATTAGTTGCTTTGATCTGTAATCAATCTGCCTTATGGTACTGTTTGTCTTGAATACTGGTGAGTGAAAGCTGGTGAGCTTCAATTGTTTGAGAAGCTAGTGATTTAATGTATCTTATGAGTCTGGGGAGCGGAGTGGACAGAGTGGTTCTGATAATGAGCCTAACTGGCTATCAAAGCTTAGGGTATTGGTCAAAAAACAAAGATGAACAGTTTGAGGTTCCAGTAGAAAGAAATTAAATCTTAAAATTGGTAGGACAGGTTAACAATTGAGGATTAGTGCTGAAACAGAGATTTCAAGAGAACTAACCCTTCCTATGCAGGATTAGAAAAAAGGCAGACAAAAATAAAAGTCCTAGATAAAAATAAGGAAGGGAGCAGTGTCTCACATGTACTGAGAGAGCAACATGATCAGTCAGAGCTTTCGTGAACACACTCTTGCATTAGGATACAAAGTGCAGTCAACAAGGAGCCTTGCTCTCACATTCCGGAGAATGTGTATAGTTGCTCATCTGTATAATTGTTATTGTTTTTCCTTTTGTATGTGTGATGCTCTGCCAGCCTATTTCTTTTAGGAATAAAGACTGAAACCAGTTCCCCCTTTGTGGCATAATATGATGTTCTTCAAGGCAGATATACTAACTCTATCAAAACTTGAAATAGAAAATACTGTTAAAAAAATGGAAAAATCAACACACCAGAGACATAGTCAAGAGGTCTTTAGTTTCTTTGGATTTATAAAAGAATAACAACCATCCCAATTATCAGTAAAACAAGCCTATCTTGAGATATCTATTTGCATCTGTGTTTTGAAAACATCAGATATACTATACTACTTTCCTCAGCAGCCTGAAAAATTTACCATTTGGCAATTGCGATGATAACAGCTCTTTGGAGAGGTATTTTTCTTCCAAGTGCAAATTCTTATCTATTAATGCTTTTGATACTGTGGTCAGCCCTGTGGGGGGAAGTGCTAAACCAAACTAATGTACTCCTAAGTGTCACACAACGGCTTTCTTTGTTTTCTCTTTCTTCCTGTCCAACCTGTACTGCTGATTCCAAAACCAGAACAGCTTCTTACACTGAACTTCTTAAGAAGGAAGTCAGTCCCCCACCCTCCCACCCCTGTCCTGCACTTAAGTAATGGGAGAGGCCATTTAATGTGATTGATGGGTCCCATGTGACGTGTTCCAAAGAGTAACTGATCCTTCAGTGTGCTTGACTATAAAAGCAAAGAAGTACAGGGAGAGGCAGAGTAGAAGGAAGAGAAGAAAGTGGATAGTTGGGGCAGCTAACATCTATTAAGAAGGAAAGAGAGAGATTAAATATTAACCTTGAAGTCTTTATTGTTCAGACAGTGGGCTAAAATGGTGCCCATCATTATTCTGAGCACCTTTTTGCTTCATTTTACTGTTTCTGTGGCCTCAGAACCGTAAGGAAATGTTACATCCTTTATCCTTACTATAGTAGTAGCAAAGTGACCTTATCAAATGCATTCTGTGTTCAGATTTGATTATTTTTCACCATTTCAACTTCTGAGACTGAGTGCTGATTTGCCTTATAAATTTTAAACAAATGTATAAAGGAAATCAACATCTTTTTCTTAGGAGAACTCTCTCTGCATACTCAAGTTTATTGTAGTACTATGAAAAATGTTTCAGGAATATTTCGATTAGCTGTAATTGTTTCTTAAGCATGTTCTGCATTTCTGTTACACTTGTTTAAAGCGTTGATCATTTTCTTTCCATAGGCAGTATATCCTATGGGTCTCCTCGGTGATACAGAGTCATTCTACCGAAAAGGCTTGTCTCCACCTTTTAAACCTTAATGAATCTGTATCCTTGAGTGTTGTCTTAGAACATGATGGATACAATACCACTATTTTTGACCAGTCTGTGGAAGAGGATAACTTCTACACTTGTGCAGATTTCCAGGTGAGGCACTGGATTGACCTTTTCAGAACTTATGTTGGGGTGATGAAATTATTACTTAAAAGTTATTTTGAGAGAGATAACAAATTTTGATTAGGAACGAATTGTGGAAGCTAGAGAGTAGAATTAGAGAAATCCTGAGAGGGACCCCTACAACAAAACTTGTGAAATATTGCCATTTTTCTTTCATAGGGAGTGATAATAAAACATAATTATTTTTTTTTAGATGGAACCATTTAACAATATGAGGAAAGAGAATCCAGGTAAAGAGGAGCAAGACTGGGACTCAGGGCACCAAGAAAAGGAAAATAGACATAAAAATAATAGACATAAAAATAAGTTTATTAGAAACTGCTCTCGTGCTAAATAAAGGAATTGTAATAAGTGGTCTCCAAATCTCCCATTAAGAAATAATGCGCTCTGTGGAGGCTCTCAGCCTGAGAAGCCAAATTAAGACATTGTTTACCAGCTTCTGTCTAAAAATTATTTTCCCTTTCTCTGCTCTTTAACATAAACAGGTTTCTCAGGTGTCCTCTGAGCAATTGGCTTTTGTGACATTGTTGGCTAAAGGAAAGACATTTAAAATCTCTGAGAGGAGATCTGTAGTACTCATTTCAGAGGAGACGGCAACGTTTATGCAGACAGATAAGCCCATCTACAAATCTGGAGAGAATGGTAAATCAATGTTCATGTTTCCTTTGTGTCACTAGCCTCAGGAACACGTTCTTCAGATTTAGAGCAATCCAAATATGTGAACATCAGTCTTAAGTTTATTCTTAATGTTATGGAATCATGGATTTCTAGAATTTCTACTGGTTGCCTAGGTCAGTTATGAAACAGTGCCTCCAAATTCATTAATTGAATGCTTTGCTTCTTAAACTTGTGCATGCCATGTTCAATGTTTAAAAAATACTAGTGACAGACTTCCATAATACAGTGACTATGGGCATGGGACATGAAACAAAATTTTTTGGTTTCGATTGCTGCTCCATAATTTACTAATTGGGCAAGTAAGATATTTAATCCTCTGTTTAGACTCATTATTTTCCTCTATAGAATAGACATACTAAAAATGTCTTACTTGAAGAAATATTGTGAGAATAAAATAAGCTAGCCAATGTAAAATAGTAGCTAGCACACAGTAAAGACTCCATAAATATTATTAATTTATTATTATTATTTATACCAGTAGAAATAATCACAAATCTGTTAACCTAAGCTGAGTCCTTCTAATTTTCTTTATTATTGTGGTAAATAAAAGGTAGCATAAGAAACACCAAACTAGGATTCTGAAGGATATGAACTTTGTTTTGGCTCTTTTGATAAATTACTGGTTTACAATATTCTGTAATAGCAAGACAATTAATTTCGGTATCTATTTATAAGAAATCATACCTGGGAAAAAAATAACAAGAAAAATATTTTCCCTTCTTCCTCTTTTCTTTTAGTTCAAATTCGCATTGTGACACTGGATACCAAGTTCAGACCTGTTGAGGATTTGGTATGTTCAATATTATCTAATGGTACAATGAAATTTAAGCAAATTAAATAAATTCATTGCTACCGAAATCTTCATCAGGAAGCTTTCCATGAGTATAGAAATCCATTCTAACATGGAATACTATATAGATATGGCTTCAATGCTGACCCCCCAATTTAAAACTTTCCTTTATAGTGAGTTAATTTATATTCTTTAGGTCTTCTTGACATATAATGAAAAAACAAATGGGATGCATGGAACCTGCTTTCTACTTCCCCGATGAGGTTCGGGATCTCTTTCACATTTGGGGTTTTCTTGTCATTCTTAGCTATAGAAATTTTGTCTTCTGGGAATGTTAAGTCAACACTAAGTCAGATAATCTTATTAATGCAATATCTGGGGGAAAAAAGAAAATCTCTATTACAATATTAACCTGCATTTTTTTTTCATTTCAGTATCCATTGATCACACTTCAGGTAAGTGATCTGCTTTATCACACTCATTTTTAAAATATTCAGTACATAATGATGTGTGCCTAGCTTTCATTACATGTAGTTATAAATTAAGATAATTGAAACAAGGGGAAGAGAAATCTTTATCTACCTATACAATGTAAGGCATCAGAGGAAGACTCAAATAAAAGTTTGCCACTTTTAGTGTTAAGTCCTATGTGGCAGGTGCAGTAATGGGTTTTCACAGAAAATAAAAGATTGGGCTCCTTGTAGGAGAGTTTTATATTTAAAATTGCTCAGGTTTTTGAGGGGAGTTTTTTGGCTACTGGCCCTTCTCCATCTTAATTTAACCGCATTTTGTTTTAAGGAAATATAAAACATAAACATCTAAAGATTTGAAATAAATTAGGTGATATTATTCCAAAATGAACACTTTGCTTTAAAAAATATAATGGGGTCTCCTACCAATCCAAATTTCTAGTGCTGTTCAAACCCATTTCAAATCTTAACATCTGTCAGTAAATCATTTGTAAGCAACTCCAAAATATGTATTTTAATTTCTACATGCAACATGTACCATTATTAACTAAGTCTAAGTGTTAATACACTGAGATCATCATTAATGAACATGTATGTAAATGCCTACTTCAAATGGTCTTTTTTTAAATTTTTTTTTACTTTGTTATATGGGTGGCAAATAGCTCATCCTTTTAGCAGAATAAATATCAAGTCAGCCATTTCTATGCTTTCTGCATTATTAATAATCTGTAAATAGTATTATCTTCACATCCTAATTCAGTTAGCATCGTGTTCCACGGAAAGCAACAGAAAGCTTAATTAACATTGACTTCAATGAGTAAAAGGCTTATTTTCACAAACCCCTATGTCTGAGTGTAGGTGCTTAAGTGTGGGGACAGTAACAACATTATATTACCAAGGATCCAGGCTTCTTCTACTTAACCTCTCTGCCATCCTCTGTCGTTTTATTCTCAATGCCACCTGCATCTGATTCCTTTAGAAATAAGTTCCCAGTGACTTCTACTTACATTCAATTGGTTACATGGGCAATCCTTCCTGAAAGGAAGCCTGGAAAATTAGTGTTATGGGCTTTATCATAGAGGGGAGAAAGACAATTAAAATTAAGTAAGTAGTAAATAACATTTTTGTTTCTTTGTAGAAATCTTTTAATCAGGGGTTCTTTAATCACAACTGGATGATATCAATAAATTTACGGAACCAGGCTCACAGAAGGTGCAATATGCTAAAAGCAAATAAAAAAGAAAAGGTGGCATTATCAATCCTTTCTTACTGTAGAACTTCCACTGCCCATCTCTTTCATGCAGTGTGAAAATTCATGACTAATTTACTTACAGACCAAATGAACATCAATAACACTCTATAAGTATCTGTTAGGATAAATTCCTCCCTGTGCATGTGTGTGGATCCACATTACTTTGGAAAGCATACTCTGGAGCAGGCACACTGAGTTTTAAATTTTTTAACTATGCAGCTCTGGTTCAGAAAGACAAAAATCGTTACAGGTTATAGTTCTTATCTGGTTGGGGGGCTTAACAGAGCTATACTATATTAATTGAATATTAATATTAATTGAATTTGGATACCTGAGAAAGTTATATTATTTTTACAGTTTGTGATATTAGCTTAATAAAGTATAGCTTTCTTTGCTTATAATAACTACAGAAATACCCAAGGTAAAGAAGGAAAGCATAATACTCTTTATGACCTTTGCTTTTATTTCTTCTTTATTTCCAGGATCCTCAAAACAATAGGATTTTTCAGTGGCAAAATGTGACCTCTTTTAAAAATATTACCCAACTTTCATTCCAACTGATTTCAGAACCAATGTTTGGAGATTACTCTATTTTTGTGAAAAGAAAATCAGGAAAGACATTGACACACCAATTTACTGTTGATAGATATGGTAACCAACTATTTATGTTTGTTCCGTGTAAATGTGGAGCTCAAATGACTGAACAAAACAGTTTTTCTGTTAGATTTAGGCAAAAGTCTATGAGACCTGATTTGGTTTTCTGTCATTTCCCTTTCTTGGGGTGTTTTGTTTTATAATCTCTCCTTTCTTGTTACTCACTCCTTGCCGAGTATTGTGATTCTAACCTCTGACTCTTCTACCTAGGAAAATCTCCTCTTCTAGAATCCAGGCAATTGTCTACACAACGTAAAAGATTACAATAATTACATTTTATTTAATGTAAAGTTCTGACAATAGGGAAAAGAAAGGAAAGACACTATCATTTACTGTGCAGTTGAAATGTGGTCTGTACAGATGCATACACCGGACAATGTTGTGTACAGAGAGATACTTAGTTACATGACTGGCATAAGTTTTTCTCACTAGTGATTGTAAGGGCTGAAGTCTATTTCTTTGTGTTTCCAGTGTTGCCCAAGTTTGAAGTTAAGGTCAACGCACCACAGACAGTGACGATTTCAGATGATGAATTCCAAGTGAATGTATGTGCTAAGTAAGTATTCAGGAGATTTAACTCCATAGGTCAATACAAAACTCAGAAAGAATGAGAAATTAAATTAACCATGTAACTTTAATTACTTATATTCTTACAATAAGATTATTAGAGAAGTAACGAATTCTCATTGAAAAATATTTGAAAAAGATAAAAAGGTAGGAAATTACATATAATTAATTCTACCAATGGCCATTTAAATTGTAATGTATTCTTTTCTAATCTTTTATGAGTATTTTTCACAGTTGCAATCATACTTTTCTACCCACTGTAATTAAGAAAACATGTCTTAATATTAGCCAATGTTTCATGAATTCCAATTCCTTGCTGCATAAACATACCTCTGTGTGACTGGACCAAAATAACTTTTCATTTTTTATATAACACGTAGGCTACTAGATTTTGTTTTCCTAGTAAGAAATACTATTATAGTATATATCTTTGTGTACAAGTGTATAAGAAGTAGCTTCTGAATTAAAAATTACTTACTTAAGAAAGATGTCCAGAATTGGAATTATCAAGACAAAAGGTGATTGCCATATTACTCACTAAATATGTTATGTCAGCCTACAATTCCAACAGCTGATACAGAAGTATCTGCCTCAATGAATCATCACCATCATTGGTGTTTTCATCAAAAAAAGAAAGAAAGAAAGAAGAAAGAAAGAAAGAAAGAAAAGAAAGAAAGAGAGAAAGAAAAAAAGCCCTTGAAAATGTCATGGGGGGGATAAAGATATTTTGTCAATTTAATTAGGATTAATATGAATTCTTTTAATGTGAAAATTTTTCCCTTATGATTTGAGAAATTTTCATTTTTCTTTTTGGGAAATTATTTCTAAAGTCTTTTATATTTTTAAAAATGTTATGCCTTTTCTCAAATTTCTAATAATAATTAATATAGTTAATATTTAATGAATGCCAATTACTATGTTGAGCACAGCATTTATATTCTTATCATAATACTATTATTATGAGAGCTATTATTATCTCTATTTTAGGAAGAAAGATAATAAGACACAGAGAATTGAAATAATTTATCAATACTAATGGAGCTTTTGAATGGCAGACCTAGCATTAGATTTAAACCAATACTATTTGGCTTCAGATGTACTCTGCTAATGGGACCTCTGTTATAATTTATATAAACAATTAGCAAAATAATATTTGATATTATTTTTTAAACTTTTAAATTAATTGATGACATGGAAATTACTTTTGAACATTTTCAAAGTATTTTAAGATTTTTAAAAAATATTTTCAAAGTATTTTTTGAGAATATTCATAGTATTTTAAAGACATTGAGTAAAAGGCTGACAGTTTTTACAATGTCCTTTGGGCTCAAGGAAAATTGTAACAGCATTTTTTTGTTTCAGGAAAGAGTAGCTGACATGTGCCAGAATTTCACAAATGTAATATATGAGAGATGGGGATTGTTTTTAAAAATAGAGAGATAATCAATATAAGCTTCAAAAAATCCAGGATCCTAAACTAGTTACACTAGTAAAACCCTACGTGGAACCAGAATAGTCAATGGGGTTAATACCTGTAGTTCATCTGCCCGGTGGTATGCTAAAAATGTTCAACATACGTATCAGGAGAGCCAAAATATTTATCAAGTATCACCTTCATATGAGACTTGCTAAGCTGGTATTGATACAGAATTGGGACTTCTTGACACTTCTTTAACATTATATTCCACTTAGATTTAAGATTAAATGGCATGTCAATATCCTACAACAGGACCAGGCAGTTGAGACAGAAGCTCTGCTGGCTATAAGGTTATTTCTGGGCAGGCTACAGGAGCATGATGAATGAAATCAGTATGTCTAGAAGTTAACAAGAGTGAATTACTTGCCTACTTGAGGCTGTATATGCTGTGTCTGTGCATTGTTTTTAATATTCTCTGGAACTTAACTTGGTCCAGCTGAACAACAGCAATAATCATATTATTTGCATAACATATCTCTATGTGACCAGACCAAAATAACTTTTCATTTTTTACATAGCACGTAGGCTATTTGATTTTGTTTTCCTAGTAAGAAATAGATGAATTAAGAACCTCAGACATGAATCAAGCTTTTAGAATGGAAGAAAACTTACTGCAAAGGCACTTTAATAAACTGCATTAGTATCCACCAAACACTTTTCAAATCACAAAGGGAGAATGTTTATTTTTTCTGTTCTGTATGAAAATAAGCTACGTATTTCATGGGCATGTGTTAACCCATATATAATACAACAATATGGGTTTTATTTTGTAAGCAAAAGTTGGTAAGAACTAAGATAGAAGCAAGTATAACATTTGTAGCCTGAGCTTAGTCTTGCTTCTATTTTGTGGGTTTTTTTGTTTTTTTTTTTTTAAGATTTCATTTATTTATTCATGAGAGACACAGAGAGAGAGGAAGAGACATAGGCAGAGAGAGAAGCAGGCTACCGTGTGGAGTCCAATGCAGGACTCGATCCTGGGACCTGGGATCAAGCTCTGAGCCAAAGGCAGCCAAAGGCAGACGCTCAACCGCTGAGCCACCCAGGCATCCCAATCTTGCCTCAGGTTTACATGTAATTGATATTTAGAGCTGTAAACCTGTAATTGATATTTAGAGCTTACAGAGGATTTTAGTGATTTGGGTAGAGTCTCTGAAGCACTGAGAACTTTTAAATAGAGAAAAACCAATTAGTGGAAAGGGAAGAGCATGGACTGTGGGAAGAGAAAGACCTCAGTTTGAATTTTAATTCCATGTCTTACAACGTGGAGAAGTGAGTTGCTTGATCTCAATTCACTAATCTGTACAATGAGATAATACATACATCTCAGGATCACTTAAAAAACAATATGTAAACATCGGGTATATACTAGTGTTCAACAATTAGGAAAAATATTATCATTGATAAATGTAATTATATTCAATTTTAGTATTTACTAATCTCACATTTGTAAACTTTTTTTTCCTAAATCTTAGTGGAAACAATCCTCAAGTAACAAGAAAACCCCAAATCAATTGTATTTGCCTTTGACTGAAACTTTAAAAACACTTGTGGTATAGTTTTTTGTTTTAGAAGAAAATTAGTTATTTACTTAAACCCACCCTAGGACATACTTTTCATCAAAGTTTATCTAGTTTATGCCAATCTCCATACTTTTTCATTTATTGAACGTATAACGAGAATTGTCATTTAAGGCATTGATCTAGAAGTATTTTAAGAAAAAAAAACATGTGTTACTTATATGCATATATATTTTCTGCTAAAGAAAAAGTGCTGCGAAAATTTTTTAATAATATTTCTATCAAACCAAAATATCATTTTAAAAACTCAATTTAGGTCAGCCCAGGTGGCTCAGTGGTTTAGCGCGCTGCCTTCAGCCCAGGGCCTGATCCTCCAGACCCGGCATCGAGTCCTGCCTCAGGCTCCCTGCATGGAGCCTGCTTCTCCCTCTGCCTGTGTCTCTGCCTCTCTCTCTCTCTGTGTCTCTCATAAATAAATAAATAAATAAATAAATAAATAAATAAATATCTTTAAAAATAAAAAAATAAATAAAAACTCAATTTAATCATTAAATCCTATTCGCTGAGATTTTAGATTCTACATTTCCTTAAATTTGATTTTTTTTTCTTTCTTCCCTTTTTTGTTTTTAAAGTAAGCTGTATGCCCATCATGGGGTTTGAACTCAGTACCCTGAAATCAGGAGTCACATGCTTTACGAACTGAGCCAGCCAGGTGCCCCCTGAGTTTGATTTTTTTTTTTAAGCAGCTGAACCTCATAACAGATCACATGCCTAATTTAACCCAAATTCTGTGGGGAAAAATAGCACCAGTAGATTGGGGTTCCTCATTGAATTTGGTCATTGGGGTAGTCATAGACAACAGATTTTATATACAGTTTCTTTTTTTTTTTATATATACAGTTTCTGAAGAACCCCATAAAATATTCCCGTGGTATTGTTCATCTATAATTATGTACACTTTCTCCTACCAGGTACACGTATGGCCAGCCTGTGCAAGGGAAAGCCAAAATCCGGGTGTGCAGAGAATTTTTTTCCTCTAGGAATTGTGAGAACAGCAATGAAATATGTGAACAATTTATTGCAGAGGTACAGATCATGATCTTTACTCGAAAAAAAAATCATTGTTCATTTCATGATTATTCTTTGATTCTGTAGAGAAAGAAAAAGTCTCCCTCTACCTTTCAAGGTCTTTCACTGAACCAAATTAAATTTACAAGAAGCAGGTTAACAGGAGAAAAAAAATAGTTTTATTAGGTGTACACGGAGGCCCCATAATGAGACAGATCTAACAAAATGACTAAGGCAGGTAGTTTTTATACTTTTTTAGACAAAGAGACAAATTTGTGAGGAATTGACAGGATAAAGAAAACAGATGTTTAGGAACTTTAATTAGTAGGGAATTCTACTCAGAATTTGGGCTGAGGTAGTAGATTAGAAAAGAAGTAACAAGGGTTCATTTCCACAGCTTGCTGGGCTTTAAAGTCCCTCTCTCCAGGGGTTAGGATGTCTTTTTACTTTTTAGTGAAGCGAGAATGCCTTTCCTATGGGAGATTTGTCTCTTGCTTTCACAGGGAATGAGGAGGGTCTGAGTGTTCTGGCACTGGCTGTTTCTTAAATAACTTTTATTTAAAATAATCAATATGTCAAAGTGACATGTTTGGGGAGGCCTGCCCTTGGGCTCTACAATTCCATTTATAGAAAGGATTCAACAACACTATTTTCATTTTGTGGCTAATGGAGGCTTCAGCTAGAGAAGGTGAAAATGAAGAACAATTTCTACCAATAGTTTCTTATTCTCTAGGCTATGTAAATTGTTACCCACCCATGGATTCATAGAATTGCTAAATTTGAAAAATCTTATTGGCTTTCTTGTTTTATATACTGTCTACTGACATCTCTGATCTTCTGCTTGGAATCATTAGTTATCTGCTAAATAAATGAATCTCTGATCATATTCACCACAATATGCATTACTTATGAATTTGAGCATATTTTCATATTTTTGTTATCAGTTTGAATTTGTCCTCTTAAGAACTCTTAATTATCCATTTTTCCTGCTCATGTGAAATTGAAACTCACTTTTATTATAAATATTACCTTCTATCCTTTAAGCAATTTTTTTCCTTTAACAGTAGCTTAATACCATAGATTTTCATACAGAGCACTTTCTTCCTTGGTATTAATGTTGAAATTCTTCTCTCTTCGACTCAGGGATTACTGAAAAATGTTTTCTGTTAGTTTCAAGGAAATTAAGATTCTTCTGATTACATTTATTTTTAATTTGTATTATAAATAGGTGTAGTAAAATCTGTTCTTGTTGTTAATATTATAGTTGATAGTTCAAAGGAGCACAATGGCTAGCTACCACTTTCTATCTGTGTGACGTTGGGCAGCTTATATAACCTCCTATATCTCAATTTATTCATCCATTAATGGAGGTAATAAGAGTGTCTAGCTCATAAGGCAGCTTTGAGAATCAAATGAATTAATATATCCCTCTGACGTTTTAAATTTAGAATTAATAGACACTATTTTAAAATAAAATTAAATCTATATTTCTCTAATTCTTGATGTCACCAATGAAAGATTATCTATAGATTTTTCCTAATTTTAAACGAACAGTTTACCTTAAAAAGTGTTTTGATGTTGTTATACACTTGAAGACTCGAGATGATTTTAAACTCTAATTCTCAAAATATCATTCAGTTCCATACTCATCCTTTAATTTGTTCCCATCTACATTGTTTTCAGTAGAGTATCCTTGAAATCTGTAAAGTATACATCACCCCCTTGCTTTAATTACTGATGAACTCCAACCCCTTCTTTTGTAATTCCTGGTCACGTCAACAGGTTTGTGAGATGAAGCCATGGGGTGAGGGTACGGGGGGCTAGAAATCTGCACTAAAACTCTACATCCTTTTAAGATTCTTGAATCCCTAATCTTTTCATTATATCTTCTCTTCATTTTTCAGTTGGGAAACGGTTGTGTTACTCAAATTGTTAATACAAAAGTCTTCCAACTCTACCGTTCAGGATTTTTCATGTCATTTCATACCACTGTAACGGTTACGGAATTTGGGACAGGTAATGATCGCATTTTATGGGTAACCTGGAGATACATGCAGCTTACTGAGGAGTTTATTGAGTTAGCAATATTCACCAAATAGGTATCAATAATTGTTCAACATAGTTAAGTGGAGTATATTTATCAATAGGCCAACTTGAAGTTTGCTTTTGAAAAAGATTTTCTTCATAATATTTAAAATAAACTTATTATGTAAATGCTATACATTTATATCTGCTTCTGTGCCTGCATCAATAAGACTGAGGAGCTTTCTTCTGAAGTAGTAGAGCTAAGCAAATGAATTATGGATCACTTTTTAACTTTGTATCAATCAGTTGATAACCAATTGCCAGGGTCTAATCTTTGATTTAGTATAGGAGTTCACAATTTATATCTAGAATGTCAAATCCAGCTCCATGCTTACTAATGTGAAGTTGATTGGAACAGGATCACATTTGTTTACTTTGCTTAAAAGCTGCAATTACAAAGTTGAATAGCTGTGAACCTAGTGACTCGCAAGCTTAGACTAATAACTATGAGATCCTCTTCACAGAGGAAGTTTGTCAACCTCTAATTTGATACAAATGAAGATGTTTGCAAGTGTAAAATATTACTGAGACATTTACAAGATTGCACATAGTCAGTGCTCAATAAATAATTGTTAAAAGATTAAAAAAGAAAAAGAGGAAAGTGAAATTTAATTTGGGATGGAGAAAACCAATTATTAATTATTCCTTGTTACATAAAAATGATTAGGATAATATTATTTATAAAGAGCTTTATATAAATGTACTTGATTAATAATGTGATGACATTCATTCTGGATGTTTGTCACATTCATGTTATAACTTAGCTAGATATGTTTACCTCTGCTTATCACATGTTTTGCTGATACCACAGTGCATTTCTATTTACTTTGCTGTCAGATACTTTTCTTATCTGGTGAAAGTCTAAAAGTAGAGTTAACTGGTAGGCTAAAGGAAGATTTAAAGGAAGTGAAAGCCTTATTTTTGAGATGTCTGTGACATAAAAGGAGTTACAAGCCAGAACTGAGTCGAATGGTCAGAGAAAGGAAATTAAAAGCATTTTCTCCTTCTTCTGATTCAAATACTTTCATATTAATTACATTATTCAGTTTGATGTATATTATAACCAGATAGATATAGAGTAGTATTCTGCAACATGCTCCAAAGCATTCAGAACCTCCTCTCAATGTAGAACAAGAATGTAGAATTACAAACTTCTGTGTACAGAAGTTTGCATATGTCCTCCAAGCTATTTTTTCTTTTGAGAGTCTTGATCCTCCTTCACACTAATTTTCATTTCATACAGGTGTGCAGATCAGTGAAAAAGCTTCTACTTTTATCACCCAATTGCTCGGGAGTGTGAGCTTTGAGAACATGGATCCTTTCTATAGAAGAGGAATTTCTTATCTTGGAACTGTAAGTCTGTACATGGTTTCGTTTCATTTTCTTGGATCACGGATTGCCCTTTGAAAATTTCTGGACACGATTTTCCTACTTTCCTAACCCCTTGCAGCCTTCCTGCATCTGATAGACCAAAAAAGTCCCTGGAGAAAAGAAAGCAATAAATACAATTATAGATGTCTCCATTTTATGTTATCTATTTAATAGAACATCTTTTTGCCTATAGGAATATCATAAAATTACAAATAAATGATCATATTTATGAATAGAAAAATTCCTTCTCTCTAGAAATGTGACATTTCGATTTTTAAAAATTAATGCTTTTTTTTTTTGACAGCTTAAATTTTCCGGTCCTAATAACATACCGATGGTGAACAAGTTATTGCAATTGGAGCTCAATAACAGATTTATAGGCAACTACACCACAGATGAGAATGGGGAAGCTCTATTCTCCATTGACACTTCCGATATATTCGATCCAGAGTTCAACCTGAAAGTAAGACATCAAAGAGCAGACGAGATCCCAGAAAGTATTAGTGTTACGAATGTTGAACATTGGGAATCTCTTAAAAGATCATTTGTATTAAGAATGTATTTTAGGGGTGCCTGTGTGGTCCAGTTGGTTAAACAACTGACTCTTGGTTTTGGCTGAGGTCATGATCTCAGGGTCATGAGATCGAGCCCCTCAAGGGCCCCGTGCTCAACTCAGAATCTGCCTAAGACTCTCTCTCCCTCTCTCATTGCCCCTCCCCTCTCTCTAAAAATAAATAAATCTTTTTAAAAAATAATATATTTTAACGAAGTTTTAAACTTTAGAGTATTTTATTTGTTTGCTTGTTCATTAAATAACACAGGAGAATACTTATTCAAGAGGATGAGATAATAGCCTGGTACAATTGTTACAAAGTCTCTACCAACCAATATTTTCCTCTGAGAAACTAGAGATAGTTCATGAAGGTAATTTGGCCCTTAGTTCCCCTTTGATCATCTGATGCATAGATAAGGGACATGCTATGATTTCTGTTTGTCTGCTTCTTAAACAGAATTTTGGAGTTGAACAATTTGTCCGTGTACAAATACAGCTGTAAGACACAGGGTATAAGGCTATTCTCTGACTTCAATTACAAAATAAAAATAAATTAGGGTAGGCCTAATAACATATATATACAATTATGGTCATGTTTTATATACAAAAAAGAAGGAAGTGTTGTTATTTTTTTACTTCCAAAAACTTGATTTTAGAAACCTCAGCCACATGCTAAGTTTCCTCCCTACTTTGAGGAGATAAGAAGCCTTCCATTCTGGAATAATTTCTGTCCTTAAAAGTCTTCATAGCTCTAATATCCTGTACTTTCCTTTTCTTACCAGGCCGCATATATTACTCCTCCAAGCTGCTATCCTCCCAGTTGGCTAACACCTGAGTATATGGATGCTCATTTCTCAGTTTCACGCTTTTACTCCCGAACCAGTAGCTTCCTGAAGATTGTTCCTGAGCCAAAGCAACTTAGATGCAATCAGCAGAAAATTGTTACTGTGCATTACTCCCTAAATGGGGAAGCATATAGGGATGATTCAAATATCAATTTCTTCTACTTGGTAAGTCTCAGTTGCTGGATCCTTGGGTCTTGTCTAATTGTCTGCTTAGCATAATGCAGCTTAGAAGAGGTATGTCAATCATGCCATGGTAGCTGAGTGAGCTGATCTCCTCACTTTTTTGTGAATACTGTTGGATCTTTCAAGAACAAACACAGAAACAAATAAATGAACACATAAACGAATAAGCACATTAAAAGATCCAAGGTGATTTCAGTTTCCCTACGGTTGAAAAACTTACTCTTCAGAGTCCATTTTAAGCACTCCATTAAAATTCATGTCAAGAATTTATGACCCTTCATGAGAGTACATTAGGCAGGTGCCAGAGAGTAAGGTGGAAGGCTCATTCTGATAAGCAAAAGAAATTGGCCCTTTTGGTTCTGTCCCCATATTTATCCATCCTGTCCTTATCAGACATATTGAAAGGTGAAAAGCTAGACTTTGCTGCCCTGTGGATGCCTCCCTCTTACAAATAAGAGAACAGTGATGAAGTGAAATGACTGGGCTTACTCAAAGCTAGAGAGACTAAATAATTCAGAGCTTTGTACAGCCCCTTGCACAGTGCACTGCATATTATTCACCAAGTTTCTAGCATATAATAGGCTTACAATTAATCATCATTTCTGTGTTCTTTTCCAAGTTGTGCAGAGTTGACTTTTAGAACTGGTTCATAGAAGCTACCTTCTCTTTGAAAGAGAATTATCATTAGACCGTTCGTTATCCATTTTTTCGTTATCCATTTTTAATGTCTATTAAATGGTATATATGTTAAACATTGTGTTTTCTTTATTCTGCACAGGTGATGGTAAAAGGAGCTCTCCTCCTCAGTGGACAAAAGGACATCGGAAACAAAGGCATACAAAATGCATTCATTTTTTCCTATGTACTCTGCCTTCATTTTTCTTTCCTTTAAGGAAATGTTATAGGGATAGAGTCAAGAGGTTAGGAAGAGCAACTTAACGTTAATGATCAGAGGCTAGAAAGCAGTAGTATGGCCCAGGGTATCCTTCCAAATATTTCAAAAAAAGATTTCAACTTGTTTCTGTTATTGCCAGATTATCAAGCACATTATAGAAAAGTGATGTCCAAAACCCAAATATCATTAATGCCTAAATTATGCAGTCTTTTTTATTTGTGTACATCATTCTCATTATATAATTGATTTAGCTTTAAAATAAAGCCCAATTTGCTCTTCCTATGCCATTCTCTTTGAGCTCAGTGTAGCCAATGAGCCAGGAAACTTTGGGCACTGTATCTGTTAGTGACATTTCTTATTTACACAGCCTGGAAAGGAAGCTTCTCATTCCCAATCAACATCACTGCTGATCTGGCTCCCGTGGCCGTCGTGCTTGTCTACACCCTTCACCCCAGTGGGGAAATCGTGGCTGACAGTGTGAGATTCCAGGTTGACAAGTGCTTTAAAAACAAGGTGATGTTTCTTCTATTTCTTGCCTGTCTTGAGAGAGAGCAGCGAGCAGTTTTCTCCCTGTTGTCTTCTTATGTGACTACCGTCAGCTTTACGTGGTGATCTCACAGTAAATATTGGTGTAATTTAATTATTAGAAATGAAAGAACCCCCAAGCAGAATGAATAACCTTGGCAGCAATGCCAATACTGAGATGGAAGGAGGAAGGTGAAGGAGATGTCCTCACAGAGAGTGAAGGGTGAGAACGGGCAGGGAAAACATAAGTACAGCGATCTAAAAACACTTATTTGAAAAAGATTGAGTTTATTCAAATTATTTTTCATGTATCAAATTTATGTATTCAAGTTATCTTTTAAATTACCTGACTCTCTTTTCCTTCCTCCACTCTAGGTTAGCATAAAGTTCTCAAAGGACCAGGGGCTACCGGGCTCCAATACGAGTTTCTATCTGCAAGCAGCCCCTGACTCATTCTGTGCACTCCGGGCTGTGGATAAAAGTGTTCTTCTACTGAAATCAGAGCAACAGCTGTCAGCTGAAAGTGTAAGCTCTCTGATTTCCTCATTTTCATCCGGACCTCTTACCCTTCAGCTGATGTTTTTATTTAAGAAGAAACATGTTAAGAATATCAAATACTTTCTCCCTTTGTTCCCTCATGGACTATATATTTTATTTTTCTTGAAATCTAGAGTTAAACCTCTGTGTTGAAGGCTATGCTTGGAAACAGTCCAAAGTTGTTATCTATTAACAGATCTTATATTTTCTTTTTTTTAAATCATTCATTTTTTTTAATAAATACATATTTTAAAGATTTATTTATTCATGAGAGACACAGAGAGAGAGAGAGGCAGAGACACAGGCAGAGAGAGAAGCAGGCTCCATGCAGGGAGCCCGACGTGGGACTCGATCCTGGTCTCCAGGATCAGGTCCTGGGCTGAAGGCAGTGCTAAACCACTGAGCCACCCGGGCTGCCCCAGATCTTATATTTTCATATGCATTTCCAGACCAGTGGTTCTAGAGTTTCACATCAAAATTGTTTCCATTAGTAACAGTTGAATATTTTTCCTTATTTTTTTTAGCACAAGGACATATAAATATTGAGATGTATGATCCTATTTACAACTAATTTAACAATTTAACATTTTTTCTTCTTATTAAAATTATACCTGTTGCTTTAAGCTATTCGAGCTGCTATAACAAAACACCCCAAACTAGGAAGCTTATAACAACAAAAAGATTTCTCACAGTTCTGGAGTCTGAAATTCTGAGATGAGGGAGCTAGCATGGTCAGGTGAGTTCCCTCCTCTGTTTTGTAGACTCCTTGTATCCTCACATGGTGAAAGGGACAAAGGACATCTCTCAGGCATCTTTCACAAGGGCATTAATCTCATTCTCTACTGGCTTCACATTAATGACCAATTCACCTCCCAAAGGCTTCACCTTCTAATTCCATCACATTGAGCATTAGGATTTCAACATGTGTATTTTGAGAAGATGCACACATTCAGACCACAGCACCTGTGTAGTTAGAAAATGTGCAAAAAAAACAAAGGCATAAAGAAGGAAATCTTTAAAATCATTTATAATCTTAACACTTAGACATATATTTTTTTATTTCCACAAAATGGACTTTTATTGTACAGAAATGAACATTTCTGATGCAATTGTTTAAATCTCTTTTCTGAAAGCATATGCATTTTACAAATGAGATCTCACTGAAAAATGCAATTTTGCATTCTGCTTTCAACATACTAAGTAGACCTAGTTTTAAATATAAAGTATAAAAATTAATTAATAACTATACTAACAATTATTAACCATGACATAAACTGTACATTTTTCCCCAATCTAAAAGTTAAGTACATTTACATTTCTTACTGGAGCTAAGAAGCTTCTAACTGATTTCAGAGTCAGAAAAGTATCAACAGATAAAGGATAAACTTACCTATAAATGTGGAAAATGTATATATACTTTTTTCTAAGAGTTTAATGGAACAAGAATAAATAGTTTCTGCTCATTCTTACTACAACTGGAGGTAGCAAGGTCTTAGAAAGGCCATCTTGAGGAAAAACCATGAAGGGTCCATCATTAGAAAATGCCAGAAGCACTTCACCAGACTGGAAGATTCAAGTGAACCAGAATATAACACAGAGCCAAAACTAGTTGCCCTTGTTTACTATCTATGGCAATATTAACACTGTAAGTCATGTTATATAAATGAGTTCCAATTCATATTGTTTATACTACTTTTAATATTATGTTTTGTAAGTTTTTTAGTTTTAAATAATTTTAAATATTTTATTTATTTTATTTTAAGTAGGGAGGTGCTAAGGTGTGGGGCAGAAACCCAGAATCATTCATTTTAATTTCTTTTTTCTTCAGTTATGCATTTGTTAAGTCACTCAAGAAGCATTTATTTTTTCTCTTTCCAAGGGGCATCACACCTGCTCTAATTATCTATTTCCCTTCAGCTATGCTTTTGGGAGCTGCCACTTCCAGGCCGATTCATTTCAATCCCCTTTCCTGTATCCTATATTGAGTCTAAAAACTAGGACTCATATTTTGATACAGAATATTATATTTTCTTTATCTGGAGTAGATTTGGTGTATTTCCTCTCATTTCTCTATCTAGTCTCTTCTTTCTCCTTATACTCAGTTAAGCCTTCCTTCTCCAACTTTCCATACCCTCAGATTTTCAGAAGTATGGAGCTCTGTTGGAATTTGGTGTTAATTTCTTTACTGACAAGGAATTTGAAGGTCATGGTATTATCTATATCCTAGTAATGTTAAAGATACATTTATGCGTTATTATTTCTCTTTGACCTTATATTTGTTTTGGAAGGATATTTGAGAAGATTTAGAATCAGCTACCAGATGACTCGGGATCATAGCATTATAAATAAAATGGATCATCTGTAAACTAGGCCTTGGATTAATCCACAGATCTTCAGTCATCTCTTTCTTACAAGCTATCCTAAGTCCTAACCAAAGCTGAAAAATGTTATGAACATGAAATTAACCACCTCAAAAAAAATTGAAATTTTCCTCTTCTGAAAAGGATAAGTTGACTCAAAAGTGTTAGATGAAATATCATGGATCAGCTTTTTTTTTTTCCTTCAAAATTTTTATTTAAATTCTAGTTAGTGGGATCCCTGGGTGGCGCAGCGGTTTGGCGCCTGCCTTTGGCCCAGGGCGCGATCCTGGAGACCCGGGATCGAATCGCACGTCGGGCTCCCGGTGCATGAGCCTGCTTCTCCCTCTGCCTGTGTCTCTGCCCCTCTCTTTCTCTGACTATCATAAATAAATAAAAAAATTTTAAAAAAAATTTTAAAAAAATAAAATAAATTCTAGTTAGTTAACATAGAGTACAATAGTGGTTTCAGGAGTAGAATTCAGTGAGTGATTCATCATTTACATACAACAGCCAGTGCTCCACATGACAAGTGCCATCCTTAATATCCATCACCCTTCTAACCCATCACCCTCAATTTGTTCTCTATCTTTAAGAGTTTGTTATGATTTATTTTCCTCTCTCTCTTTATCCCCTCCCATATGTTTATCTGTTTTCTTTCTCAAATTCCACATATGAGTGAAATCATATGGTATTTATCTTTCTCTGAGTGACTTATTTTGCTTAGTATAATACCCTCTAGATCCATCCATGCCATTGTGAATGGCAAGATTTTATCCTTTTTGATGGCTGAGTAATATTCCATTGTGTATATATACCACATCTTTTTTTTTATTTATTTATCAGTCAGTGGACATCTGAGGTCTTTCCATAGTTTGTCTATTGTTGATAATGCTGCTATAAACATTGGGGTTTGTGTACTCCTTTGAATCTGTATTTTTGCATCCTTTGGGTATTTATCTAGTAGTGCAACTGCTGGATCATAGAGTAGTTTTATTTTCAATTTTGAGGAATCTCCATACTGTTTTCCAGAGTGGCTGCATCAGTTTTCATTCACACCAACAGTGCAAGAGGGTTCCCCTTTCTCCACATCCTCACCAATGTCTGTTGTTTCCTGTGTTGTTAATTTTAGCCATTCTGACAGGTGTGAGATGGTATCTCATCTTGGTTTGACTAGTATTTTTCTGATTATGAGTGCTGTTGAACATCTCTTTATGTCTCTGTTAACCATCTGGATGCTTCTTTAGAAAAGTGGCTATTCATGTCTTCTATGTGATGGTTACTTCCTTAAAGAAAAGAACAAATCATTACAGCACAAATCTTGCCAATTTTGTAAAAATAAAAGGAATGCTTAAAATCATTGTGAACCATGTGATTTTTCTCATAGGTGTACAGCCTGCTTCCAAATATCGAACTATATGGTTATTTCCATCATGGTCTCAACCTTGATGATGGCAAGCTTGAAGCTTGCATTCCTCAAAAGGATATGTTTTACAATGGTTTGTATTACATACCTGTAAGCAACTATGGGGATGGAGACATCTATGATATTCTCAGGGTAAGATCATTTAATATTTTAAGAATTGTTTCATCTCAATTTTGATTTTAGTATTCATTGTGCATATCTATGTTTTATTCATTGTATATTTTTCTTCCTATTTGTAGAGATTGGTGTCCATAATTTGTTTAAAGATCATTCAGAAATTGTCTTATAAAAAGGAGATATTAATTTTTGTTGATTTTTCTCTCTTTTGTTAAAAATAAGTGACAATGAAGTTATGAAACCTCATGTTTAAATAATGAAACAGTCAATTTATTGCAATAAATATTATGCAGAAATCATCAAATGAAGATGCTAAAATATAGTGGAGGCTCCATCTATATCTAGGCTATCAATTAGATATGCTGAGGCCTCCACAAAGGGATCTTTATAATTGAAGTTAGATGTATAGGAGAAAAAGGGCATATAATTAGACAGATGTTAGTTTTGTCCCAGCTCTCCACAAGACTGACTATGCATTATGTGTGTATGTGTTTGTGTTTGATGTTAATTAGGGTGATGATAGTGCTTATCTCATAAGTATTTCTCCCATCAAATTAAATGGGGAACAATTTAAAATACTTAGCAAAATCCTAGAACAAAAATGCTAGACAAATCCTAGTGCTTATCATTTTTGTTCCAAACTAAAAACTTTCCATACATCAAATAAAGGTGACTTGAAAATCCCAGACCTTGCTAGTGGAAGACACCTGTATTTATCATCTACTTATAATATAGTTAATAGCCCTTTTTTAGATCTTACATGAAAGAAATTCACAACTTTCTTTTGTTGTTTGTTTCTTGGAAGGGTATGGGTCTGAAAGTCTTTACCAATCTTCATTACCGGAAACCAGAAGTATGTTCAATGGAGGGAAGGCTGCCATTCTCTAGGCCATCATATTTAGCCCCAGAAGAATATGCACCGATATACAGTTATGCCCCATCCAGAATTGCATGTGGGTAATCTAGAATTTTGTATCTGGGAGATGGCTAAAAGAATTCATAGAATTGGGTGTTTTGGGGATAAAGCTATAAAAATTGGGGTTTACATGTGAATTATGCCATGTCTTTGGCTACAATTAGAAATCCATCCGCAAGTGAATAAAGCAGGATAAGGCAGACTGGAAATGGTTTTGTTTTGCTTTTTTTTTTAAGAAAAAATTTGCTTCAACTATGAAAGTTTATTTTTATTGGTAGAACACAATATCAGGAGAGCATAGAAAGCAGGCAACGTGTAGTGATATAGGAAGATAGTCATTACAAGTGATTATGAGACAGAAGAATGAGGTGTCCTTAAAGGGCCCTTATTCCTTTATTATGTATAAACCATAATACATAGAGTTCAGGGCGAAGATATTTTAACTCCCAGAGAGCCAAAAAGCTGGCATCAGAGAAGCATGTTCAAATACCAGTCCACTTTCTATTGGAAAGGCTGTAAGCACAAAAAGTCAGCCATAGTCTTAGATAAATGAGGTAACCAGGAAGATTTTCAAAACAGAAATTTAGACAGGGAAGCAAAATGCAAAAGATCATAAAAGTGGAACTAAAATTGAAGCTGAATTCCAGGTCTGAAAAAATTTGAATAACACCCTTAAGTCCTTCTACATAACATTGAATTAGTATAGTAATTGAAGTCAGGATGATCATAAAGATGAGTACTAAAACTACTCAAGAAAAGTGAAAGGCCTGACAACTTTAAACAAGGGTCGACTCAGTGAGGAGTCAAGAAGCCCTATGAAGTCCAGAGTTTGAAACTACTCTGGAGTCCTAATCAAGAGGTTGGGCTTTCCATTTTTCTGCTACTCAATGACACCATATTCAGTAAACTTTATCAGAAACATTTCAACTTTTTAGTATGTGTCAATAAAATATTTTGAAACCCAGAATCATTCATTTTAATCTCTTTTTTCTTCAGTTATGCATTTGTTAAGTCACTCAAGAAGCATTTATTGAGGCCAGGAACTGAGTCACACATTGTAAATGCAGTGGCTTATTTTCTACTCTCCTGGAACTTTTAGTCTAACAGGGAAGCATTATAGTGAAACAGTAATTCCAAAAGCCTTGGGAGAGTGCATTATATGGAAAGAATTTGAGTAGAAGACATTAATTTCAAATCTCCAAGGGCCTATTATATGCCCCTAAAGGAAGTAGCATTTATATCAAGAAGTGAAAGATGAGTAAGACACCACCCACCAAAAGAGATAGAAGGGCATTCCAAGCAGGGAGAAAGTACTCTGAAAGACAAGCTAAGAAGGTAGATAGCTATGTAGACCTTGTAGGACATTCCAAGAGTTTGGAATGCATCTTAATCAATAATGCACTATTGACAAGTTTTCAGCAAACAATCTAATATGTGTCTTTAAAAGATATCTCTGGCTGCCCTATGGAAAAGGGGATTGGGATTTGGGCTGTTTGTATGAAATATTCTAAATGCTAGTAATCAAATTGAGAGATGGCAGTACTTGGAAAAGACACTGGAAATAGAAAAACGTGGATAGATTTGAGAGCTGTTTCCAAGTAGTTTTCATCAGATTGGTTAGGATGGGAAAAGTAGGATGGGGCATGGGATCAAGGACAATTCTTCAGTTTCTGATTTGGGCAAGTGGATCTTGGTACCTGTCAAGGAGACAGGAAATACTGGGGGAGGATATAATCCATTTACTTTTGGAACAGTTTCATTTGAAATGCCTAAAAAGCATTTTAGAAGAAATGTGTGCATAAGGGTATGACATGCATAAGTCTGGGACTCAGAAGAAAGGTCCAGTCAGGGGACACAGAGATGGGGGGGCAGTCATCAGCTCACACACTGTAATGGCACCATGTGTGAGGATATGGAGACAGTGTATAACGCAAAGAAGAAGAGGACCTAAAACAGAGCTCTTAGTAACAAGTCGAAGAGGGACTAATTACATCCTCAAATGAGAATGGCAAAATGAGAGTGGCAAAGGAAAAAGAACTAGAAGGATGTGCTATCACAGAAGTTAACAACAGTGACAGTTTGAAAGGAACACAGTGATGAAGAATGTCAAATACAGACTAGAGGCAAGGCAAATGAAAGAAAGTGTTCTTTAGAACTAGTAATATTAATGTCCCTAGAAACTTTAGGGAAAGTAATGTTAGCATAATGGAACTAACACTATATTGTCAAATGAGAAACTCAATTCAATAAATAAATATAACTTTCTCTAAATTTGGCTGTGAAAAAACAATGTAGACCAATTGTTGTTTTTGTCTGTTTGTTGCTGTTTTTAGTAGTGGCAGAGATTTGAACATCAAAATGCTGATGCCTTGGTTGAAATGTATATTTATTGGCAATGCCAATAATGCCAGGAGCAAAGCCCTATTTTGCTTCACACTGACCATGTGTGGATAAAGACATAGCTAATAGATGTGTGCCATTGAAACCCATACCTTCATTCTCTCCAAAGAAAGTATTCTCTTTTCTTTTAGCTCATGAAAGCTTGAAGGAGAATTTTGACTATGTAGGACAGGCTATAATAGAAACAGTAAGGACAAACTTTCCAGAGACATGGATATGGGACCTTGTCAGTGTCGAGTGAGTTTTTGAGTTTTCTCTCCTGTGTCTTTATTTCTATTTTCTTTTTGTGGTTATTTCTTCAAATTTATTTCTGGATATATAAATCAATACCATATTTGTAAAATATGTAATATATTCATTTGTATGTACTGACCCCATATTTTAATTTTTTCCCTAACATTCCTCATTTATTAATCTCATGCATATAGATGTAAGCTGCCTCAATTTTTAAAAAATAATTCAGTGTTTAAAGAAATGTGACATTTTTAAGGATAAATTTCATAGAAATCCAGCTCTCGAGATTGTTATTTAATGCCCTGTCTAAACATCTTAACTTACTTTTAACCTTTGGTTAATATACCTTTGCTTGCTCTGGACTAAATTTAGTTTCCTTGTTTAGATAAAGAATGCATTTCATCGATGATCTCTCCTTAGTTCCTCAGGCTCAGCAAATCTGTCCTTTGTTATCCCTGATACTATAACACAGTGGCAGGCAAATGGCTTCTGTGTGAATGGTGATGCTGGATTTGGCATATCATCAACAGCTACCCTGGAAATCTCCCAACCTTTCTTTGTTGAAATGACCTTGCCTTTTTCAGTTGTTCGAAATGAACAATCTGATTTGATTGTCAATGTCTTCAGCTACCTGAATACATGTGTAGAGGTAAGTTGCTGCCTTTGACATGGAGGCAAAAATCTAACATGGCCAAGAGATCCCTCAGTGTTTTCCTTGACTATTGCCATCTTCTTTTTATTCAAGTGCAAAATGGTACTACAAATTGATGAGACCTGTTTCCATATTCCCTGGACAAAAACTGTTGCTTTAATTCACAGCAAAGATTTAAATACTACTTGACAATGTCCTTTCATAATGATGAGTGTTCTACCTTATTTTTCTTCTTGTGAGAAGTCATTTGGTATCTTTAATTTTTGCTAACTTAAAATAGTTAACTTTCTCAAGGGAAGAAGAGTAGTAACAGTAAAGTATTTAGAGTGTCACCCTCATTGCATGACTGGTTTTTTAGATTTCTGTTCAGTTGGAAGCATCCCAGGATTTTGAGGCAAATATCAGCACCCCTATAAACAATGGCAGCGAGGTTATCCAAGCTGGTGAGAAGAAAACATATGTCTGGACTCTATTACCTAAAATATTGGGTAAGCAGCTATGTATATGCCAATGTCTCATGGAAAGCCAGTGTCTTTCTTTTTTCTTTTTTTTTTACTTTTAATTCCAATATAGTTAACATATATTAGTTTCAGGTGCACAATATAGTGATTCAATAATTCTATATGCTATTTAAGGCTCATCATGATAAGTATACTCTTAATCCTTGGGATGGGTAAAATAGGTGAAGGGGGAAACCAGCCTATTTTTATTCCCTTCATTTATTTCCCTTACACCTTCTGCACAAACAATTTTCTCCCTCCCCTTTTTTAAAATTCTCTATTAAAAATTCTATTTAAAAAAATTCTATTTTTATCATCTAATTCCAGTTGCTTATGCTTATGTAGAGCAAAACTACAATTCAATTGCATAAAAGCATAATGTGATTGAAATACAATATAAATGCCAATTTTCATGATTTATCAAATCCATACATCATATACTAAAAGAAGATTATATTTTCATTAATGTGGCCTAGTTCCTTCACTTCTAACTTACTCCTTCACCTATATCATGAACATGTAACCTACCAAAATTTCTCCTCAATCACAATGATTGCCAGGATTTGCAAATTTACTAAATATATCATGAGACATCAGAAATACTGAACACTTGGATGGAGATCAAACACTGAGAAGAGTATTGTCTTCATGCTTATACTGTCTGCAATATAGAAAAATAAATTTGAAAATATCTTGTTGAAAATATAAGGGAAAGGAAAGGTAAAAAGAATCTAGTAAACAGAAAACACCAGATGTGGTAGAGGCATGATATGCATTATCGCTTATGTAAAATATTGTCATTAAATTTCCTTTATTTCATGTCCCATATTCATTGTATTATTTGGGACAGCAATGGGTTTACTTATGAGATCATTTTAGTTCACCTGTGAGGTTGGTCTGATTAAAACTAGTTTTCCTGTTAGATTTTGTTTCTCAATTGTTCTGACTATAGTAGGTCTTCAAAAATCTAAACCTGGCAATTAAGATAGAATACTACATGGCATTTTTTATGGCAACTTTTATGACACTAAGTGGGGGACATAGTTCTAAGAATGGAGAATCAAAGCCTTTCTTAAAAAGAAACAAATGAGACAAAACACAGCAATAAGCAAAAAACAAGAATAGTAAATATATACTTATGTATATATTTATTATAGTGTATATATTATATATACAATTTACTATATATACTATATATAACTAGTTATATATTTACTATATTATATGTATATTACTATATATAGTATACTATATAATATATATACTATACTATATAGTAATATATATATATATATATAGGTGTTTAGGCGTACAGTAATACTAAACCAAAAGAATGATCCTTTTCAGTCTTCTAATTTTTACAAGGAAACTGAAGATCAGTTTTAATTTCATGATCTATGATTCACAGGAAGGTAAAAAAAAAACTACTCCTTGCTAACACTAATTTAAATATAACGCCCTTTCCACCATGTCATATTTTACTATTTTTGTTTGTTCAAATTTGGGGAAAGTTAGGAGTCCTGGTTATTTGATGTTATGTCTGCATATTGGTCTATGTAACCTTCATAAACAATCAATTATCAGGGAATTGGCTCTGTTGGCTTTGCAAATTATTATTTTTCCTTAAAATTTCTTACTTTTTAATTAAGTAAATGAATCACTTATTTTTGGTTGGCTGGTTGATGTTTAAAATTTTTTTGTTTGAGTATAGTTGGCCCACAATGTTACATAAGTGTCAGGTGTACAACTTAGTGATTCATCATCACTATAGGTTATGCTGTGCTACCACAAGTATAGTTACCATCTGTCACCATACAAGGCTATGATGATATTATTATACATTTCCCCTACTGTGCCTTTTAGTCCCATGACAATTCATTCCATAACTGGAAGCCTGGATCTCCACTCCCCTTCACCCATTTTGCTCATCCTCCCCCACCCCCATCTCTCTGGCTACCATCAGTTTGTTCTCTGTATTTATAGGTCTGATTCTGCTCATTTGTTTACATATTTGTTTCTTGTGTTTTTAAGGTAATGAATCATTTATTCAATGTAAGGAATCTTGAAACAGGTAAAACAGAACATACCAAATTATCTTCAAGCAGGAGAAAAAGCAAGTTATTTTGGTCAAGCATAAATATGATGATAGTATTCAGTTCATTGGATTCAAGATGTGGTTCATTAGACTCTAATCATTTCCCTTTACACATGGACCAGTCATCAATTTAACTTATATTCTGGAATGTTTTCCAGGTAAAGTGAATATCACTGTAGTTGCTGAGTCCAGACAAAGTAGTGCCTGCCCAAAAGAAGCAACTGAGCAGCAGAATCTAAACTGGAAAGATACTGTGGTCAAAAGTCTGTTGGTAGAGGTATGTGCATACGAAAGTATCAAGCTCTTCCAGATAAGAAATAAGTTAAATACGTAAAGACATTCTTCTTGAATAAACTTGATTGACTACAGTTACTTTTGACACAATACATAACATTTTATATGAAATAAAACAGCAATAAAATTCATCCTTTCCTTAATTAATATCTGACCCCAGGATAGTAAAACTTAACACTCAAAAAAGGTTTGATGATATTTTCCTTCTCCTGACTCATGTTTCCTGTTGCTCTTCCCTTCCCTTTTTAAACCAACTCCCAAATCCAAGACAGATCTATTTGTCCTACACTCCCATGTAGTTCTCATCACCCTCAAAAAGAATTAACACTGGTCAGTGCGTAATTCTCATGTTGCCTCTTGACCTGTCCCTACCCTGCAAAACATGTTCATTTGTCTACTGGAGATGCTAGACAGGATCAGAGGAGTGGAGATTGTCCCACACTGACGTCAAAGTTATCTCTGTCTGAACTGTGGGAACACAAGGACTAAAGTGGGTACTGTACAGTGATCTTCAAATTTAAACAAAAGGGAGCAACAAATGGATCATCTCCCAGGGACAAATAATGTGCCAACCGTGCCTATCTGAGCTGAGGCTTGATAACGTTTCCTACATAGAAGGTGACCCAGACTCATTTTGTGCTTGTTGTTTACTCTTTGACAGCCTGAAGGTATTGAAAAAGAAATGACCCAAAGTTTCCTTATCTGTACAAAAGGTAAGAGGATCCTTTAAGTGGTCAGATTGGTCCCAAAGAAAATTTATCAACAGAGTCAACTTATTTCCTCTCCTTCCACGTTGGTTCCCTTGTCATATTGAGTCATTTCAGTGATTACATTTTAAGGATCTAATGGAGGATTACTTCATTTCACGCCTTATTTCCATTGTATAATTTTGGCTAACAAAAAGTATGAGAGGTTTTTTGGTCTTTTGATTTTTTTAGTTCACCTATGACATTTGTCTGCCACAGCCTATTTTTCCCATCTTATATATTTTTGGTTCCTCTTGTCATGTGATGGTGGCACAGTATTGGACAGAGGAAGATCATGATTATGCCCTTTATACTCTTGGGATAAAGCAACTGAGAGCTACATCACTGTCCCTCCATCACCTGCTTTGTGGCCATCTTGTTGATGATGATCTGATTTTAGTGGGACTCTCCAAGCTTTACCTTTTGTGTGTGCTATTTTATATGTCACAGTCAGTAGTTTTTTGCATTTTTTTGATACATAGAAGTTTAGGCACTAAACTAATGGAAGATAAGGGCCATTATCCAATACATACATATATATATACCATTTTCTGTATGTACCATGATTTTAAACTAGATCAGAGATGTCAGTTTTATCTTTTCTAACAAGCAACTTGCAAAATAAAAGTAAATAGTGGAATCTACTTCCTAATATATTGGTCCCACAGATCAGCTGCTACAGTTTATAAAAGAAAATTATCACATTATCTTTATCGATATTTTCTTTCTAGGAACCAAAGCCTCCAAACAGGTAGTTTTGGACTTGCCAAACAATGTAGTAGAAGGATCAGCCAGGGCCTTTGTCACTGTCGTTGGTAAGTTCGTTAAATTTTGTCTTTCATGATGCTTTGAAAATTTTGATTGAGATAATCTTAAAAAAATAATAAGCCTTAAAATAACATGATGGAGAAATTTTTCTAAAGTATTAGCTGGAGGGAAGTACTGTTGAAGGTTCATCCTCTGTGCTTGTTTCCATGTGGGATCTAAAGGAATTACAGTACCATTTTCAAGTCTATGTCCTGGGAAACACTTGTTTTGTTGGATGATGACTGGCATTTAGAAAACAAAGCCTTCTGTTATATAGCTCATTCTTCTGAAATATTAAATTCCCTTTTGAAGAATCAGAATAAATTCTGCTTGTTAAAGATGGTGGGAATTTCCTCAGTAACAGAAAAATATCATTTTATAAGAGGTAAACTTTTTTCTAGCATTAACACTTCTTTAGGAGTGATGGATTACAGTTTATAATCCACAGGGTCAATTTCTTGAAGAACAAACAAGCAAACAAACAAACACACATTCTAACTTCCTCTTCTCTCTGGTAATGAGATTTTCAGAAATATTTTTCATACCAGAACCTCCTTTAACTTCACCTTTCATGCCTATCTTCTCTTTAGAATTACCTCATGAAAACTTTCCTTGTTTCCACCTTTTAAATACAATTTAAAGTATTTCCTACTTCCACTATGTGTCTTTTATCCACAGTTATTAATGCTGAGATGCCAACTTATAAGCAGTAGCAACCTTCTGTTTTTCTTATTTTTAGGGGATATCTTAGGACTTGCTATGCAAAATCTGGAGAATCTTCTCCAAATGCCCTATGGATGTGGAGAGCAGAATATTGCCCTACTAGCATCAGATACCTATGTCCTTGACTATCTGAAATCTACTAAACAGTTGACAAAGGAAGTTAAATCTAAGGCTTTCTTTTTCTTGTCTAACGGTGAGACCATTTAAGTTATTTCTGTCCATAATAAATAAAATTAATTGTTACTAATACTACGATGTCATAAAGCTCTTACTGTGATATATTATCATGGGTGGGGGACAGTGGATCTAAACTCTGAACTGGGATGCTCTGAGTCCAAACTAGTCTTTTTTTTTTAATTCAGTATCTGTGTGGTCATATAGCTTCTCAATTCAGAACAATAACATCTCAAATTATGAGTCTAGTTTTTTTAATCTGAATATTTTGCCAAGTTACCTTGTTCATTGCTGTTTTTCCTAATAGTAGCTATAAATAGTTCATTTATCAGCTTCTGTTTGTTTGTTCAGTTGTGTTCCATTGCAATGGAGTGATTGGATTTGTATATAGAAAAAGGATGTATAAATCTTATAAAATATGATATCAAGGGATGTCTGGGTGGCTCAGGGGTTGAGTGTCTGCCTTTGGCTCAGGTCATGATCCTAGAGTCCTGGTATGAAATCCCGCACTGGGCTTTCCTCAGGGAGCCCACTTCTCCCTCTACCTATGTCTCTACCTCTCTCTCTCTGTGTTTCTCATAAAAAAATAAATCTTAAAATCTGAAAAAAAAAATGCTATCAAGAAAAGACCCAAGGGTATAATTTCTTCAGGTTTTCTTTTCATAAAGATAACACAAAAGAAAATTAACCTTAAGGAAAAGGTATTAAACAATTAGTTAAGTGCCTATAATTACATATATATATATATGTATATGTATATATATAGTCACATGTAATATCTTGTCATAAAACCCCAGAAAGTAAAATTTATTTTTTCTCACTATGAGTAGAGACTCTGAGTTTCAGAAATTAAAATTGATCAATCTAATAATTTATGTCTAAAACCCAAACACAGGGCTTGTACTATGCCATTCTTTTTCTTCTAATTTTCTTAGATTAAAAAAATAATTTCCTGATCTTTTACTTTAGGTTATCAAAAACAGTTGTCTTTCAAAAACTTTGATGGTTCATATAGTGTTTTTTGGCAGAAGAATCAGAAAGGAAGCATATGGTAAAGTATTTTCTTGAAAAAAAATTTTATCTTGAATTATATAGGAGTGATCTGAGGAGGGCTTGTGAGGGTCTAAGGGAGTTGAGTTTGGTAGGATTTAGAAGCAAAATGGGTTTCAAAGTGAATTTACAGAGATGAATCAGAGAAGCTAAAGTGTTTGATTATTCTAATTCTAATGCAACCACATACCTGGAGTGCCATGGCAATTTGTCGAGGAGTCTGATCATTCACTGACAATCCCCTGTACTTCCATAATCTAACCTTGTGGAAAGTGACACAGGCTGATCTGCACTTCTCAGAGACTTATGTAGAGTTAGGAGAAAGGAAAGCAAAACTAGAAAGCTCAAGGGGCACCTTGGTGGCTTAGTCAGTTAAGCATCCAACTCTAGATTTCGGCTCAGGTCATGATCTCAGGGTCTTGAGATCAAGCCCCATCTTGAGGTCTCCTTCTCCCCCGCCTCTTCCCACCCTTCTCTGACTCTCTCCCTCTAAAACAAACAAACAAACACAAACAAACAAACAAACTAGACGCATCTGATTATACCCCCTTCATCTCCATGTATAGATAATCTAATGAACCATAAAGCAAGAACTTTGTCTGTAAACATGCTGAAAATGACCTACACTTCTTCTTTACATATTGATATTCATAACATTTTACTGACCCAAAGGAAAAAATGCACTATCAGTAAAGATTCTTTGCAGTTAACATTAGCCAAATTAGATGCATCTGTTATCCAAAGGGAACAATGGTAAGTGAATCTGTGGAGTAGATGACATTTCTTTCTTACCTAACTTTTGTCTAACTAGTGATTTGCATTACAGGCTCAGTGCCCTTACTTTTAAGACATTAGAGAGAATGAAGGAATATGTTTACATTGATGAACACGTTCAAAGAGAGACTTTAATCTGGCTTTCAAGCAAACAGAACATAAATGGCTGCTTTGAAAGTGATGGCAAGGTTTTCAACAATGCCTGGGAGGTAAGAGATGAACACAATCAGGCTCTCCTTGCCCCTTTGCATTGCCTATCTTTCCTACCTCTGATCTAATTAATCTGGAACAGGGATATTTTCTGGTGAATATTACCCTTCTGAATCTCCCAGGCATAGGCCTGTAGTATATTGGTCAACAGCATCATTCTACTACATACTTGTTTACCCCATCTAGACTTAACTCCTCATGAATCTGCTGTTTGCTTCACTGTCTTTTGTTCTTCCATAGAACTAGTTTCCTTCAGTGTATAAACTGAAAACAGGAGAGAAGGAAGAAAAATCTGGGAATATAGCATTCATAAATTTGGAGCCAGACAATATGTAAAGGATCCTAATCAGGATCCTTGATTAGGGAATTTATTCCTATTATGGATAGCAAGAAAATTCAGGAAACATATCTGGGAATTTACAGCATTTCAGTGAAACACTCTCCCAATACCTTCTCAAGTCAAAGCATAAAGACCTCGCTTGCCAGGGGTCAAAATTCAAAAGATATGAACTATGTCCTTAATGGTACCTACGCTTTCCCTTTCCCTATCCATATTTAGGTAAATTACTAGAAATTTTCCCTTCTGATTTCCTTTCTTTGCAGATAGGTGTCCACTTCCATTCCATCCCCTGTGTCTTTTATTCTCCTAATCTTTGTATTTTCCTCTGGAAACAACTCCTCTGATCATGATACTTTAACATAACCTACTATCACCTGAAATATTCTGGGCTTTCCTGCTGTATCCTTCTTAATCACCATTCCTGTTCTTGGATTTGGGAATGTAAAGCTAATCCACTTCAAGATATGGACAAATGGCCACTCTGTGTGGTATTCAATTTTAATGCAAATGGTTTTCAGATTGCTGTACTTTCTGTAGTGTAGAAAAATGTCTTTAAATTATTCCAAATCTATTCTTCACAACAGTAGCTCCCTGGTAGAGAAGAGGCCTTGTTCTCATGTAGAAAATGAGAATTTTTCATGTTCTCTTCTAAAACATCTCTACATTTTTCTCCTTAGTGAATTCATTACTGACTACTGCTTCAGTTTGTCTGATCTTACCCAATCCCTCTTCCATAATTAAGTGTGTGTTTGTGTGTGCGTGCACGCACACATGCGTGCCTATCAAATTGGACAAGAGTAAGAAGCAACGAAAAAATAAAAACCTATACTGTAGAGGAATGGTAATAGAACTTATTATAATTTAAATGGATTACTGCATCTCATTTTAGTGTTTGCTTCTACAGTTATTTGTACCTTGAAAACTGAGCTCCTCAGATATTCATTTTCTGTAGAAGAAAGAGGTCATATTTTTGCTTAGAGAACAAAAGAGGTTTATGCTAGATCAGTGGATTTCCAGTGCCAGCTGAATACTGTTTTGCTTGTATTAGTATCTTTAGAGCTCCATACAGCTCTCTCTGTCTTATTCTTGACTTTTTGAATCAGAATCTATGGTGCGAATGCTGGTTTACTTAATGCTTAAGTTCCCCACTGCATTTCTATTCACTGTCAGTTTACAAATTGCATAACTTATACATGCTTTTCTGATTTTATCCTCTAAGATTCTATGAGGGGACACCTGGATGGCTCAGTCAGTTAAGAGTCTGCTTCAGCTCAGGTCATGATTCCAGAGTCCTGGGATTGAGTCCCATGCTGGGCTCCATGTTCAGAGAGGTCTCTCTCTCTTTCTGCCCCTCCTCCCTGCTTATGTTGTCTCTCTCACTTCCTCTCTCTCTCCCTCTCAAATAAATAAATAAAATCTTTAAAAAAAAAATAGAAATCTATGAGACCTAACTATTGTTACTTCTCAGGATACTTTTCCAGAAAGGTTCAGGCACCTTCCCAGAAATTTTCTCTCCAAGCAGCAGAAATTCTTTGCTTGCTTTTCCAAATTAACAACAAATAGAGTAAAATAGAGCCATATGAATTGCTTGGAATTCATGCCCAAGATTAGGGCATAAATAGATGTGTATTATGTTTTTAATGTACTTGAGATTAATGCTATTTTTTATTTCATTACTGTAATAAATCTTGATGGATTCTTATTCAGCATAGTTATTAACCATTTAATTTTAAAATTACATTTAAGATGATTTTATGAATAAGAGTATTTGTTCTACTGTTTTTTTCATACTTAATGAATAAGAGTATTTGTTCTACTTTTTCATACTTTCATACTTTCAACCTACTGTCCTCTGGTTAATTATTCCTTTGTGTTTAGGGTGGAGAAGAAGAGAACATTTTATTCACTGCATATGTTGTTGGAGCCCTCCTTGAAGCTGGACTCAATTTCACTGTATGGCTTCCCATCATCCTTGAATTCCAGTCACTTAAATGCACATTAAATTAATTATGGATTCAGAGTGATCTGAAATTCTCAGACGGAATGAAACATCAAGAGAGCATTTAATTCATTACCACCCCTTAAATGAATACTGCTCAAAGATTTTTTGATTCATAGAAACTGGTGATGAGCACTCTTGAGTTTTTCTATAGGGAGAATACACAACTGCACACATACACAAGCTTTTCATACCATTTTGGGTATTGAAATAACTTCTGAAGTTTGGCCATGAATTTCAGGTGAAGAACCCCTATTCTATGTATAGGCATAACTTAATATTCTATTTGCCTAACCAATTCAGTGTGTAAACATTTTCAACTTAAGCATGATTCATATTGGCTACACTCCATCTCAAATTCAGATTATCTGACTCAAAAATCTATTTCTGAACTAAGATAGCAGGAATTTTCTGAGTCATTAGAATATGTCAAAAATCATCTTTAGAAATATAAACCTCTATTTTAGATATTAGAGTAAAATATCTTAGGTCTAAAAATAAATTCATATGCTTTGCCACATAGAAGAAGTACATATTATCAATTAAAATATTACTGAGGAGATATAAAACAACTATTTTCATATTATGTATATTTTATTTCCCAAATACTAATGTTGCCATTAAAAATGAATTTTAACAATTTTATAAAGTATAATACATGTGTACATATGAATAGGTTTTTATGTAAAATATACCTCAAGGATATACTATATAAAGAATGATTATTTTAAATATTCAGCAAGCTTATGAAGTATTCTGATATATTTTTAAAATATGTTATCCCTCTCCTTAACTAGTTTCCTGCTCTACGAAATGGACTCTTTTGCCTAGAGGAGGCACTGGAAAATGGTGTCACCAATGGCTATATCCATGCAATTCTAGCTTATGCTTTTGCATTAGCTGAAAGAGAGAAGCAAGTGGAATCCTTACTCCAGATCCTCGATCAATCTGCTACCAAAACAAGTAAATATTATTATTCACTTTTACTAATGGGGATGACCTTGAGAATAAAGCAATGAAACTTACTTAGCAACCATATAGGAACCCTGTCTTCACTGATAAGTTTCTATTTCTTTTCTGGGGTTTCTCAATGGCCCCTTTATCTCTGAAGAACATCACATATTTTCTACTTCCTTCTTTCTCCTTTCAACTAGTTTCTTTTCAAATGAGTGAAATAAAGGAAATCAAGCATTGTGATCATGCCATAGACCAAAAGTACTGTTTGTGGGATTTAATCACATACCACTTTTAACCTTAGGAAGTTGCTATTGGAGGCTTATTAGTGTGCTAGGGCCTCCATAACAAAATACCACAGACCAGGTTCCTTAAACAACAGAAATATATTTTCTCACAGTTCTGGAGGCCAGATATCCAAGATCAAGGTGTCAACTGGTGTGGTTTCTTCTAAAGTCTTTCTCTTTGGCTTATATTTGGACATCTTCTCCTTCTGTCAATACACCGCCTTTCCTCTGTGTGCCTGGCTATCTGGTGTCCCTTTTGTGTGTTCAAATTCCTCTTCTTTTTTTTTTTTTTTTTTTTTATAAATTAATTTTTATTGGTGTTCAATTTACCAACATACAGAATAACACCCAGTGCTCATCCCGTCAAGTGTCCCCCTCCGTGCCCGTCACCCATTCACCCCCACCCCCCGCCCTCCTCCCCTTCCACCACCCCTAGTTCATTTCCCAGAGTTAGAAGTCTTTATGTTCTGTGTCCCTTTCTGATATCTCCCACACATTTCTTCTCCCTTCCCTTATATTCCCCTTGGTTCAACACTCGTAAAACAATCAATGTGATTCATCATATCAGCAAGAGAAAAACCAAGAACCATATGATCCTCTCATTAGATGCAGAGAAAGCATTTGACAAAATACAGCATCCATTCCTGATCAAAACTCTTCAGAGTGTAGGGATAGAGGGAACTTTCCTCGATATCTTAAAAGCCATCTACGAAAAGCCCACAGCAAATATCATTCTCAATGGGGAAGCACTGGGAGCCTTTCCCCTAAGATCAGGAACCAGACAGGGATGTCCACTCTCACCACTGCTATTCAACATAGTATTGGAAGTCCTAGCCTCAGCAATCAGACAACAAAAAGACATTAAAGGCATTCAAATTGGCAAAGAAGAAGTCAAACTCTCCCTCTTCGCCGATGACATGATACTCTACATAGAAAACCCAAAAGCCTCCACCCCAAGATTGCTAGAACTCATACAGCAATTTGGTAGCGTGGCAGGATACAAAATCAATGCCCAGAAATCAATGGCATTCCTATACACTAACAATGAGACTGAAGAAAGAGAAATTAAGGAGTCAATCCCATTTACAATTGCACCCAAATTCCTCTTCTTATTGGAACACCAGTCATACTGGATTAGGGCCCACCCAAATAGTTTCATTTTAACTGAATCACCCCTTTTAAAGGCCTTATCTCCAAATACAGTCACAATCTGAGGTACTGGAGATTAGGACTTGAAATGTGAATTTGAAGGGGACTCATCTCAGCCCATAGCAGAGGCCAGGAATGGAATTTGCACTATTCTTATGAGTAATTAATGGTGTTTATAGGGACTGTGTGAAAATTCTTCCTTTTCCTCAGATAATGTGATATATTGGGAAAGGGCAAAGAAACCCAAGACAGACACATCCCCATCCTTTATTCCTCATGCACCTTCTGCTGAGACCGAGAAGACTTGTTATGTCCTATTGGCTGTTCTTTCCAAGAAAACTCCTGACCTCACCTATGCGAGTAAGATTGTGCAATGGCTTGCCCAACAGATGAATTCGCATGGGGGCTTCTCTTCCACTCAGGTGATTGATTGTTCTCAATAATAATAACAATATGTGTAACACAAAAGATACTACTTTTCAATAATCTAGATAGCAAAGGTAATCATAGAAAATGCTTTCTGAGATGAAGAATATTCGATATTATGTATTCTATTATTAGTCAACAACTATTTATTGGGCTGTTCTTGTGTAACAGACACTCTAGGAAGAACTCTCTATTGGTATAAATGAATAAACTAAAGCCTCTTTTCAAGGAATTTATGACTAATTTCTACTTTCATGTATACAGTAGAAGTAGAATACAGGTCTAGAAGAGATTGTTGTCAGAAGCACTGGAGTCTTGATGATAAGTTACATATCCAATGATACTATATATCAACCAGGAAAAAATATTTCCCTCTGTTTCTGTGATATATACATTGGGAAAAACAATGAAAGGAATGAGTAACAGAAGAAATGGGTATAAAAAGAATAGTGGTTTGTGTCTTAACGGAAAAAAAATTAAAATTGAAAGAAATGCAGTTTCTTTCCCTCAAAGGAAAGCTTTACTTCCCTCCTTACTTTCTTTACTGTAGTCTTACTTTCTGAATAAAACCATATTAGTGTATCTCACAACAACCTTTTCTGATTCTGAATACTTTCTTCAAAGATCAATGGGCATAAGCATTGTCCAAGGTAACCAAAATACTTAGTAAATGGACATAAAGGAAATATCATATGATAATATAAGTAATATTATATTATGTCAATTTTTATAAAAGATTTGGCACTATTTTCAATGCAGAGATTACACTTTGTAAAATCCTTGGACTACTAAAATCTGAATTTGTTGAGGGAGACTAAATGACAACAATTGCATAGCAAATGTATTTTTCTTTTTATTTCTTTTTTTTTTGCAAATGTATTTTTCTATTATTTAGGATTTGGTTCTTGGTGTTCTGTTAACCTGTCATAGGAATATTTTTATGAATCGACTTAAAGTTAATGGCCAAATGATGACTAATATGGCATCATAACAAGCTGAGATCTTTGCTTCTACTGTTCTTTGCAGGACACTGCTGTCTGTCTTCTTGCTATAACCCACTATATGAAGTTCACCTTCTCTAATGATCAAAACACTGTCACCTTAAGCGGTGAAGAATCCAATGAGATGTTCCAGGTCAACGGTGATAATCGCTTACTGGTCCAGCGTTCTGAACTAACAAAAGCACATGGACAATACACACTAGATGTGGAAGGACAAGGTTGTGCATTTATCCAGGTAATAGAAATCTACCTGAGACAAAGATAAATATTTTCCAGTTAAAGAGCTAGACTATCCTTTCAGGTACAGATGGAGTGTTATTTTGCCATTGTGTATTTCCATTATTATCTCTGTTCTTTCTCTCATTGATATTTTCTATTCAATAGTTGAAAATGCAAGTTATTTTACAGAAAGATACTCTTAAAAGCATAGCTAGATAACTGAGGTTTCTTGAAGAACATCACTGTTAGAAAGCATTCTGATGTTTCCATTATGTCAAGATTATTTGGTTATGTGAAGATTCTTGGGTCTACTGAAACCTGGATAATTACATTTTGCCTTATTCCCTAATGATAAAAATGTAAAAAAAAAGTGCAGTAATAATGAAAATAGAGAAAAAATAAGTCCTTCAGTTCTTACTACAGGATATATGAATGGATTGTCTTCTGATTTGGCATTCTTTCTAGGTTACCCTGAGGAATAATGTACTATTACCTAAAAAAGCATCTGGATTTTCCCTTTCCTTGGAGATAATCAAGAAAAACTCTTCAGATACATTTCAGAGATATTTTGACCTGATAGTAACCCTCAAGTAAGTGTTCCATTTTGTTATCAACTCCTGGGTTAGAGAGATACTGAGTAATAGATTAAAAAATAATTGTTTTTTAAAAAAAGTAATTGTTTTAAATACTAGCAAAATAAATATTAATGATGGTGACCACAATGAGTTCTTATGTTGGTGGTGACATTTCTATAGCATAGTCTCTTTCTAGCTCTGTGTGTACATCACAGTGCAGTGCTTATGCAAGTGAGAATTGTACTGTAGGCTAGTATGAATTTGAAAGCTTCTGCATCACTGATATGCCAGAAATGCCTCCGTTGTTTCATGTTTATGGAAGTACCGTTGGATTTGGACAATGGAGGTGCCAAAGACAGGCACAGGTGGGCCAGCATGAGAAAACTTATGGATGTTTATTCTCTAACTGTGTAGAGCAATATTTTAGATTTTTATTTTTTGGAGTAGATAAAATAATTTTCCTGAGTTAAAATATAATTTATAGGTGCCAGAGAGTTTTAGTCCTCATTAATACATGGGGAAACATTGAATACAATTCATTTGGGGGATTTTTCTTAGGATTTCCAAATGAAATCTCTTAAACATCAGGGCTAAGATAAGAACTGCATACACCATGGAACTCTCAATTTTGTGTCCCAACAATGCTATCCAGAGTTAGGGACATAATCTACATGACTTGGGGACATGGCTACTCTAAATTTCTACCAACACCTTGCTTTCTAAATAAAGATATCCTTTAAGTATTATGCAAATCTAAGGCTAACATAAGTATATGTGATATAAACTTATCAGCTTTGTTTATAAGCTATGACTTTGAGGCCCCGAGGAAACTTAAAAGAGATTGGGGAGATTCCAGGTCCAGATAATTCACTCTTTATCCCAATTTATATGTCCCTTGTCTTTCTAATTGTTTCTATTCACAGATGTTTGAGAATCACTTTCTTTAGGTGTTCCCTCTTCAGTTTTTTACCTTTGCTCCAGATATATAGCCAGTTGGTATCTATGTATCCACCATCCTTGCCATAAGATAGGTCACTTTTTTAGGCTATTGTCTAAACTTGTGTTGTTTTTAAATTTCAGGTATACTGGAATTCACAATAACTCCAATATGGTCCTTGTTGATGTAAAAATGCTGTCAGGATTTACTCCAGTCATGGCATCCATTGAGAAGGTAAATAATAGAAGACTACACTTTCAGTCCAGAAAAAGAAATTGTGTATAGATACAATAATTTGTTAGCCAAACAAAGTCATGTAATTCTTCCTTTACATAAATATACTCAAAGTTCATTTTTATTTTTGCTATAACACTGGAGAAACAAGTATTCTTAATTTGAAGCAATTGGCAGTCATTTTTCCCATAGGTCATAATTTAGTTCTTTATTTAGTCCCTCCTTGTGTTTATAAAAAATATCATGGCACAGACAACATCCATAATATAGATACCTGAAAACTGGTTAAGTAAAAAGCATGAAAATATTCAATACTAGAGGTATTCTTTAATATTTTAATCTCCATCCCTTCCTGCCAATTTCTATAAAGCTTGAAAACAATGGCCAAGTGATGAAGACTGAAGTCAAGAATGACCATGTTCTTTTCTACTTGGAAACTGTAAGTTGAGTAATAATTTTTTCTCCATGGCTTTCTTTTCTTTTCTGAATGTCCTTGGATGCTTGTATTTTATTCATATGTAAATGAATATATCCAGTTGACCCTTGATCAACACAGGTTTGAACTGCATGGGTCCACTCACACAGGACTTCTTTTTTATAAATGCAGTACAAAACTGTAAATATATTCTCTCTTCCTTATGATTTTTAATGACATCTTCTTTAGCTTGCTTTGTTGTAAGAATACAATACATATATTGTATATAATACATATAACCTACAAAATATGTCTTGTTTATGTTATTGGTAAGGTCAACTGTAAGCTATTAGTAGTTCAGTTTTTGGAGAGTCAAAACTTATATCAGATTTTCAACTGTGCAGGGTTTTGATGCCCCTACAGAGGGTCAGCTGTATATATGACAGAGTTAGTCAAAAAATATGGGACATTAAAGATGATCAGTGCTCTTCAATCCCACTGATAATCTATCTTCTCCCCACTAACTCTAACATTATTTTATATATGCTTTTGCTACTTGACTAGGTGACTCTCAAGTCAGAACTATCATTTCCCTGTTTTTCATTCCTCACAGCATCTAACATGGTATGGTTACAGAGCAGATGTATAATTCTTTTATAGTTTGGCTTGAACTCCAACAAAGGCTAGCAAGAGTTTTAGAGTCATCCCTTCTATGTGTACATCATGACCATTCACACCTGCATTACCCTAATGCTTTCAATTAGATTTCTTGGACCTCAATATAAGAAATGGAACTTAAAATTTCATATAATTTAACATCATCTAACTCATTATTTTGTCATTATGTAAGATCCTGATACCCTAGATCTATATAATTAAGTAAATCATGAACTCCCAGAGATAATTTGTTCTGTGATTTTCTTTTTGTTGCTGAGGTATTTATACCTAATGTATTTATAATTTGTGTCTTTGTGTGATGCAGACCTGACGTATTTATAATTTGCATCTTTACAGGTTTTTGGGACAGCAAACCACTTTACTTTCACTGTTGAGCAAACCAACCTTGTGTCCAACATTCAGCCAGCCCCAGTTATGGTCTATGATTATTATGAAAAAGGTAGGCAAGCAATGCCTATGTCCTAAAGCTAATGACTTCCTGAGCCTCTACATTTTCCAAAATCATCCTCCGTCATCAAAGACTAAATGATGACTGCTTTTACTTTATATATTGATTTTTTTCTCCCTACTATATATTTTGTCTGGGCCATTTTCCAGTTACCAGAGTTTTTCAATGCCTAGAATCCTTTTGATGTGAGAGGGCTCCCCTTTAACTTGAGATACATGCTGAGCTTTAAGATCTCTTTGTTGTTATTTTTGTCGTTGTCAATGCCAAGAATTACATTTCATGCTACCTTTATGGACGTTGATTTGAGAAGGGGAGGGGGGAATATTTTGCAACGTTATAGGAAAGTCTTGATAGATTAATTTCTAAAACAATTATTAAGATGTATAAAGACCATAAAAATTTTCCCCGGAAAGTCAATGCTATTAGTTTCTCATTGAATGTCATACAAAGTCTGTCAAGTATTTGAATTCCTGCTCTATCATTTACCAATTGAATGTACTTCATTAAATACCTTAAGCTTAAATAGGATATTTTTGGATTTGGAAATTGGAGAAGTGATTGATTGTCTTGTAAAATTTTTGGAAAGATTAGGCCTGATGTACCTATATTGTCTGACATAATCTGTTTATAGAAAATTGGAGATTTAAGATGGGTGAACTTACTCTTTATTTTCCAGATGAATATGCCCTTGTTTCTTACAACATCAATAGTGTTTCAGCTTCCCAGTAAGACAAAACAAAGCCCAGGAAGAGGTAAGAAAATAACAAATATTGAAAACATTGAAACCATTGAAAATATATCTGGTACTAAAAGGAAAACCTAAAAAAAAATACAATGGATGAAGCAAAGAGAAGTCTGTGATACATTATAGAGTTTGAATAGTTTATGTGTTCTAGATGCATATTATGATAGTGATTAAGATTTTATTTTCTTCAAAATAGCTTTAAAGAATTTACAACTATATGGGACACCTGGGTGCCTCAGTTGGTCAAGGGTCTGGCTTTGGCTCAGGTCATGATCTCAGTTTCCTGGGATCGAGGCCCATATCAGGCTTTCTGCTCATTGGGGAGTCTGCTTCTCCTTATGTGCCCTCCCTCTCTCCATCTTTCTCTCTCTCAAATAAATAAATAAAATCTTTTTAAAAAAAGAATTTACAAAAAAAAAGAATTTACAACTATATAGTTGTAAATATATATGTGACTTTTACTGATGTCTCATTTTAAAAAATCACTCATCTTTGTTTTATAAAATCTATGTCATTAAATACATATGTACCTATATTTATACATATTCACATATATATCATATATGTATGTGTGTGTTTGTGTATGTGTGTATATATGTATGTTTTCTTAGCTGTATACACACACACACACACACACACACACACATAGTTATTCATCGTTTAAACTCTGTTTTTATATCCCAGGTGGAAAGCTATTTACTATGAACTAACTCATTCTTCTGTATCAAACCTGGAAGAAAACCATGAACGACCTCCTGTACTGAATATACTGCAATCTGCCATGACTTCTTATCAGATTTTATTTCATTATTATTCCATAAAATGCTCTCATTTCTCATCTAAGTCTGTGATTTTCTTTTCTTTCCGTATATTATACAGAATTTTCATCCTAGAAAACTCAAGATTTTCTTTAAAGACAACTCTCATAATTTGCTTTATTGTCATCAATTCTAAATTTAAGCTTTTAGACATTGTGATGTACATAATATGGAATCCTCCAACATACAGAGAAAAAGAGAGAAAGCCAGGGTCAGTGGATATGAGGGAAAGAGACTAAGTTGCAGAGGACTTCATTTGAGTTCAAGGAAATAAACACATGCAACACAAAACACACAGACTCTTCTCCATGAAAGATCATCAAAGAATGGGGGAAAAATACTAAGGAAGTCATAAATGAATTGATGGATTTATTGAGTTTCCACACATGATTGAAAGGGTAATCCAAGGGCATTTTATCTTTTTTTAAGAATTTATTTATTTATTTATTTATTTATTTATTTAAGACACAGAGACATAGGCAGAGGGAGCAGCAGGCTCCCTATAAGGAGCCCAGTGTGGGACTGGATCCTAAATCCTGGGATCATGGCCTGAGCTGAAGGCAGATGCTCAACCGCTGAACCACCCATGCATCCCAAGGGAATTTTATCTTTTTAAAAAGCATTTTTATTGTACTAATTTTGTCACTTATTACTGAAAAGCAACATTCAATGTCTATCCTTTGCTCAACCTAACACTACTGATAAAGCAATAAATTAATATTGAGAAAAGAGAGGCAGGAAGAAATTGGAATAAATAAGGATAGAAATGAAAACAATTTCTCTACTGACTTTAATACAGGCTTCTAACCCTGCTGAGAATACTGCTACAGGCAAGAAAAAGATACAGATTAGTTCTCCAGCTGTAGGGTTAAAAAAAATTGGAAACAGTGTTCTGTCATCAGTGCCCCACAAATTAAAAATACAGTGTTTTAATAGATGATGATTAGACTTACTTATTTTTGTAGTCTCTCTGCCCAGTGTCTACTGCTTATAGTGTCCACGTTATAACTTGGCCCTTATAAATGTTTATTAATCGATTTATCATAGATAAACTGCTGGTGTCAATCTATATCTGGTGCTATAAAAGTTTATTTCATTGTGTTAAGAATTTTTTATGCCTTCTCAGTTTTCTTATTTTATCAAAACTTGGCACATCAGATGTGTATATATGACATCAGTATACATAGTTTTTAAAAACACCCTAGGCTCTATACATACTCAAGAGTTTCACTCAAGGAAAATATGACTCTTCTAGTACATTTTATGCTAAAGGTTCAAGTAAAATGAAGGGAATTTACTTTGTGGTAAATAATGTCTTTTTGTGGGAAACTTTTTTTTTTTTGCCTAAGTAAATAATTCTAAATCCCCATTTTACTTAGCATATTCAATAGTTAGTCTGCTGGTATAATAAAATTGTTTTTCAAATTCTAAGCAGCCAAAGAGGTTATGGGGAGGCCTGCTACCAGCTATGCTTCAAGGCACAGATAGGGTTTAGAATTTAATGTTTATACTTGCAAAATTTCTTGGTAAGTATGAAAGATGACAGGGAACTGAAATCTAAATATATTCCAAAGAATAAGACTATTAATGAACAATATAGCTCTGTTACTTGCCCCTTGCATTGAAACCTCCTTCTAGTTTATATTGGACAGACAACCAAAATCATTTCCTTGGTCTACATTTGAATATAAAATGGGACTTACTGGATGTTCTAGTTTAGAGTGTTGAATGGGAAATGCCAAGTTTCAATGTGACTGTGTGTGTTTCTGTGTACACGTGTGTATTTAAGAAGGGATCTTTAGTAAACTAGACCGCCATGGACTATTTCATGGAGGATGATGTATAGCTCTGATCTAGATGAGGCTCATGTTATCCAAGTATCACATGACACTTGCCCCTCTTGCCCCTCTATACCAAAGTTCTTGGACAACAGGAATAATTCATTCCGTCTATCATGTTTTTATGTAGTCATCACACCCTTTTTGCATTTTGAAATAAGTTAGGTATACATTTAACAAGTACATGAAATACCAAGCCCTAACATCCTCTTTACCGTCTCCTAGAAATCTCATCCTTTTTGTCCTCCTCCTTTTTCTATCAGCTTTTTCCCTTTTATCTCTTTTCTTAGGTCTCATACTCTTTTTCCTTTTATTGTTTTATTTTTCTTCCATCATCACTTAACAATTTGGTTCCTCCCTCTCCACAGTATGCACATTTCCTTCTCACTATCCAGATACTTATTGATCTTCTTTTCTCAGCTCCACTTTCTCTTACCAAACATTAAATAATATTTTTCATCATGATTCTAGCAAGTCTTTTTCTCTTCTCACTATACACACTAAAAATCCTACAAAATTAAAATTTATGTCTGATTCCCACATATATGCTTCTCTATCTACTTTTCAGCCTCCATGAATCCCACTGTCTATTGTATATTAGTCAAATGTCCCACAGACACCTCAGTAATATTCATCATTTACCCCTAAACCAGGTTCTTTTACTGAGATACCCTATCTCAGTGTGTGACAATATCACCACTAAAGAATTATCTAAGTATCTCACCTCGTCCCTCACATTCTACTCATTCACTGTTGATAATGGACCAGTGTTCACCTACCAAATGAATAACTCATTGATCCACTTCCTTTTATCCACACTGCCATGCTGTTTTAGTTCAGACAATCAGTCTTGAGTGCCTATATGCACCAAAAACCTCTTCTGGACAGTCAGGCTATCTCGGTAAATGAAAATAGTAAGAAACGGCTATCCTTGTGGAGCTTACATTTCAATGGGAGAGATATACAATACATGTAATATAATCAAACAATAAATGTAAGCATAAAATCAGCAACATAGATAAGCAAAATTTAAGAAATTGGAAGGTGGTAAGTGTTGTTGGAAAATAAAAACTGTAGAGATGGGTAAGAGGATCCAGAATGTCCAGGGAGATGGGACGAGGAGAAGGATTGAAATACTAGGTAGATTTACGTTCAACCTCATTGAAGTAGTGACATTTGAGCAAAGATTTGAAGGAGGTGAGGAAGTTAACTGCATAGATGTCTGAGACAGTGAGAAAAACTAGACAAACAGGAACTTGTGTTTAGCTCTGGCCTCAGGCAGGGTACTTTTGGATGAATTATAACTATTAAGCCAATCACATTATCACAGTTCCCACTGAAAGGGAGTGGTGTCTGTGGGGTCTAGGTTCCCTAGAATATAGACTCTGAGGTGAAGATTTGTGGGTAGGGAGTTTGACTAAAGAGGGCTTTAAAGAATAACACCAGCGGAGGATAAAAGAATCTGGATTATACAGAGAGAAGAGTTGAGCTGAATCCCAATAAAAATCTCAGACCATTGAGCTCTTTGGTGCTAGAATGGGTCTTCAGAATTCTCCATCTTAAGGTGAGGGAGCTAGGTCTTTATAGCATCAAAGCACCCATTATGGGATACCTTAAGGAGATGAAAAGTCTCTCTTATACTGAGGGAGATTTTCAGAGCTGAATTCATCTGAGAGCCAACAGCCACCAACATTTCTAGCAGCTGGGATTATGAGTATTTCTGCCATAGAGAATATCTAAAGGACACACCACAGATCACTACTTTGGTCTAGCACTGAGATATAAGAACCAAATCTGACTAAGGACCTATGTCTCCTGGTACAGCATCTGGAATGACTTTGCTCCTTGGTAGAAAAGGAGAGAAAGGAGGGGGGGGTATTCAGGAGATTCGGGAGAAGAAAACTCTTTTTCTGCTGACCCTCTTCTTTAAGATTGAGATATTATTGGGAATGCATAATGTTTGCTACTGTAGAAGCCAAGCTGTCACTAAAGAGGCAAAAAAAAAAAAAAAAAAATACTGACCCACCAAGTGGCAGAGAAGAAAGAATGAAAGAAATTCCTTGAGGGCATTGGTAAGCTGCTGAACCAGTGCCAATACCACCTTCCTCAGAATTTGTGCCAGAAGAGATAAATGTTTGATATTTTTAAGCTCGGCATTCTGTTACATTTAAAGCTCTTAAAGATTTTCTCATCTTTTTTCCCCAATTCTTTGCCTTTTTTTTCCTATCATATTTTTATATAGAACTTGTAATGTCTCCTTTTTAAAGTTCTTTCTAGATTACTAACCCCAGGGAAATCATTTTGAAGAGAGGCTAGTACACGTGCTGA